CTGATGTCTCTTGGGACTCACTCCCTTTATTCTCTGTCCTTTTCCAGTCTGTAGGTTTCAGGCTGTTACTGCACATGAGTCCATAAGCAGAAGCTGAGGAAACACATGAGCTTGTGCTCACCCATGGCAAACAGACCTGCAACTCATGCTGGAAAAGCAAAAGCCAAGGGGAAGTACGGAAACTCAGTGGCCCCAAGAAAACAAAGAAAAGAGGCTTTGGGGCAGGGAGCTGCCCAGTCCTCTGCCTAACGCCATCCTGTAGGTTAAGTCCAAACTCCCTCTTCTCTCACGGAGGCCCCTTCTCCACCTCCCATAGGCATTTCCCAACTGGGAATTTCCCTGAGAGCTGGTGAATACTTCATTCCTCACAAGGCTGATGAAATGCAGCTGTCAGAGATAAGCCCCATTTTAGTGTTGAAGAAATAGACCTGAAATCCCAGCTGAAGGAAGTTTGGATTACATCCACTCACACAGCCAGGTGCATACTGGTTAACCAGAAAAATGGATGAAAGTCACTAGAGATACAAACTAATATCAGATTCTGTTACCAGTGTCTCTGCAAGTGGTGGCAACAGGGGTCCACCTCAGTACTCTCCTTACTACTCCCTGTTAAGTTTTAACAACTACCATTATTAATCAGTCTTGCAGAGCTTATGAAGAAACAAGATCACAATCAACTCAACGGTAGCCACTTTACATATGAATGAGAATCATGATAAATACAAGGGATTCAGTCTGCTATGATGATAGAGGAACAGTTTATAAAGCATACACTGGCCAAGGCACTCCCTTCACACAGGCCACTCCCAGCAGGGAGGCAAGAACACTAACTTTAGACCTTAAGCTCTCCTTTTGCCCCTCCAAATCAAATCCCCCAGTCTCAGGCCCAGCTCTGCAGCAGCCTCCCTTCCTTCCCCACACCCATCTCCAGTGGGTCACATAGATCTTCCCTTTCCAAACTTCCTTCCACCTACCCATTGCTTTGTCCCAGTACCCAACTCCAGCAGGAGGCACTCTCTGGAAATCCACAGGGCACTCTGACCAGGGAAGTAGGTAGGCTAACTGCAGGTCTTCACCTCTCCCTCCACTCCTCCAAGTCCAATCCCCCAGTCTCATGCCTACCTCTGTGGCAGACTTTCTAGGGTGCTCCCCCCCCTCACTCTCTGCACCCATGCCCAGGGACTAATCAAGCAGATCCTGGTGGAGCATCCTGGGTTCCCCGCCTCTTATGAAACCACTCCACCACCCCAGCACATCTCCAGTCCTAAGTGTCAAGTCCCAACACCCAGAAACACAGTTTACCTAAAATCCCCAATGCACACACTTATCAGGACCACAGAAGATTTTCTTACCAGGCAACACAGCCACCACACTCTCCTAAGAACCAGAAAGGAAACAGAAACCAAGGAACAAAACACCCACCTAACAAAGACCAGATACCAGCACCTAGAATTACAATCTTCTCAATCCCAGATGCCTGGGCACCAGCATAAAAACATAATCAATAACAGTCAGGACAATATGTCTCCACTAGAGTCTAGCAACCCTACCACAGAAGGCCCTGAATATTCCAACATAGCTGAAGGGAAAGAAAAAGACCTTAAAACAGCCTTTATGAACATGATAGAGGTCCTTAAATAGGAAATAAATAAATCCCTTAAGGAAATGGAAATCTACGAAAATACAGAGTGAAAGGAAATGAATAAAAGAGTTTGAGACCTGAAAGTGGAAATAGAATAAATAAAACCCAAACTGAGGTAAATGAAATATTTAGGAAATAGGAAATAAACAGGAACCACAAAGACAAGCTTCACCAACAGAATACAAGAGATGGAAGAGATAATCTCAGGTATCGAAGACAAAATAGAAGAAATGGATACCTAAGTCAAAGAAAATTTTAAATCTAAAATACTCCTGGAACAAAACATCTAGAAAATCTGGGACACTATTAAAAGACCAAACCTAAGAATAATAGGAATAGAGGAAGGAGAAGAAACACAGGTCAGATGCACAAAAAATATTTTCAACAAAATCATAGGAGAAAATTTCCTTGCCTGAAGGAGATGCCTATCAAGATATAAGAAACTTACAGAATACCAAATAGACTGAGCCAGAAAAGAAAGTCCCCTCAGCACATAATGATCAAAACAATAAATCCACAAAACAAAAAAAAAAAAGAATATTAAAAGCTTTGAGGGAAAAAGACCAAGTAACATATAAAGGTGGACCTATGAGAATTACACCAGACTTCTCAATGGAGACTCTAAAATCCAGAAGGGCCTGGACAGATGTACCACAGACTCTAAGAGACCAGCCCAGACTACTATACCCAGAAAAACTTTCAATCTCTATGGATGGAGAAAACAAGACATTCCATGATAAAAACCAAATTTAAGCAGTGTCTATCTAAAATCCAGCCCTACAGATGGTGCTAGAAGGTAAACTCCAACCTAATAGGTTAACTATATCCAAGAAAACACAAGAAATAAATAATTCCAGACCAGCAAAGTCAAAAGAAGGAAAGCACAGAGGGAGGGAGGGAGGGAGGGAGGGAGAGAGAGAACAAGAGAGAGAAACAACAATAACAAAATAACAAGAATCAACAAACATTGGTCATTGCTATCTCTCACATCAAAGATTTCAATTCCCTCATAAAAAGACTAACAGAATGGATATGAAAACAGGATCCACCCTTCTGCTACATCCAAGAAACACACCTCAACATCAAGGATAGCCATCACCAAAGTGTAAAGGGTTGGGAAGAGATATTCCAAGCAAATGGACCTAAGAAACAAGCTGGTGTAGCTGTTTTAATATCTGACCTAATAGACATCAAACCAAAACTAATCAGAAGAAATAGGGAAGGATACTACATACTCAAAGGAAAAATTCACCAAGAGGACATTGCAATTCTAAATATCTGTGCCCCAAACACAAGGTCACCCACATTTACAAAAGAAACACTACTATAACTTAAACGACATGTTGACCCTCACACACTGATAGTGGAACACTTTAATACCCTACTCTCACCAACAGACAGGTCATCCATACAAAAACAAGGAAATGCTGTAGCTAACTGACATCATCAACCAAATGGACCTAACAGATATTGACAGAACATTTCATCCAAACACAAAAGAATATACCTTCTTCTCAGCACCTCATGGAACTTTCTCCAAAAATGGCCACATACTCAGAAACAAAGCAAGTCTCAACAGATACAAGAAAATCAAAATAACACCTGCATCCTATCTGACAACCACAGACTAAAGCTGGACATTAACAACAACAGAAAGCTTACAAACCATGGAACCTGAACAACTAACTCTCTACTGAATGGGAAATGGGTCAAGACAAAAATTAAAGACTTTCTAGAATTGAATGAAAATTAATATACAACATACCCAAACTTATGGGACACAGTGAAGGCTGTTCTGAGAAGTAAGTTCACAGCACTAAGTGTCTACTTTAAATAACTGGAGAGATCTCATACTAGCAACTTAACTACACACCTAAAAGCTCTACAACAAACATAAGAAATTACACACAAAAGGAACAGACAGCAAGAAATAATCAAACTCAGGCTGAAAAAAATAAAATATAAACAAACAAAAAATACAAAGGATCAATGAAACACTGAGTTGGTTCTTGGAGAAAATAAGATTGACAAACCCTATCTAAGTTAACTAAAAGGTAAAGAGAGAATAATCAAATTAGAAATGAAAAGTGGGATGTAACAACAGACACAGGAAATCCAGAGAATCATAAGGACTTCAAAACCTGTACTCCACAAAATTGGAAGATCTAAAAGAAAGGGATAATTTTCTCTATACATACCACATACCAAAGTTAAAGCAAGATCATATAAGCAATTTAAACAGACCTATAATCCCTAGAGAAACAGAAGCAGTCATTAAAAGACTCACAAGCAAAAAAAAAAAAAAAAAAAAAAAAAAAAGTTCAGGGCCAGATAGTTTTAGCACAGAATTTCAAAGAATAGTTAATGCCAATACTCCTCAAATTATTCCATAAAATAGAAACAGAAGGAACATTGCTCAATTCATTTTATGAGGCCACAGTTTCCCACATAACCAAACTACATAAAGACTCAAAAAAAAGAAAGAGAATTACAAACCAATTTCCTTATGAACATAGATGCAAAAATACTCAATAAAATAATTGCAAACCAAATCCAAGAACACATCAAAAAGATCATCCACCATGGTCAAGTAGGCTTCATCCCAGAGATGCAGGATGGTTCAACATAAGAAAATCTATCAATGTAATCTACCACATAAACAAACTGAAAGAAAAAAAACCACAGGATAATCTCATTAGATGTTGAAAAGGCCTTTGACAAAAGTCAACACTCCTTCATGATAAAAGTCCTGGAGAGCCGGGCGGTGGTGGCGCACGCCTTTAATCCCAGCACTCGGGAGGCAGAGCCAGTCGGATCTCTGTGAGTTCGAGGCCAGCCTGGACTACCAAGTGAGTTCCAGGAAAGGCGCAAAGCTACACAGAGAAACCCTGTCTCGAAAAACCAAAATAAAATAAAATACATAAAAAAAAGTCCTGGAGATATTAGGGATACATAATCTCTCTAGGGCAGTAGTTTCTCAACATTCCTAATGTTGCAACCCTTTAATACACTTCCTCATATTGTAGTGACCCACAACCACAAAATAATTTTGTTGCTACCTCATAACTGTAGTTTTGCTACTGTTAGGAATTGTAATGTAAATATCTGATATGAGACCCCTCAAGGGTTCATGACCCACAGGTTAAGAACCACTGTTCAAGGGGCATACATGAACATACTAAAGGCAGTTTAGAGCAAGCCCATAGCCAATATCAACTTAAATGGAGAGAAACTCAAAAAAATTGCAATAAAATCCAGAACAAGACAAGATTGTCCACTCTCTCCAAATCTATTCAATATAGTACTTGAAGTTCTAGCTAGAATAATAAGACAACTGAATGAGATCAAAAAGATAAAATTGGAAAAAAGAAGTCAAAGTATATTTATTTGCAGATGATATGATAGTATACATCATTTACTCTAAAAATTTCACTAGGAAACTCCTACAGCTGATAACCACTTTCAACAAAGTAGCTGGATACAAAATTAACTCACAAAATTCAGTAGCCCTCCTATATACAAATGACAAAGGGACTAAGAAAGAAATTAGGGAAATGGTATCTTTCACAATAGCCTCAAATAATATAAAATATATTTTGTGGTAACTCTAACCCAGCAAGTGAAAGTCTTGTATGGAAAAAAAAAATCAAGTCTTTGAAGAAGATATCAGAAGATGGAAATATCTCCCTTGCTCATGAATTGGTAGGATTAACATAGTAAAAATGGCCGCCCTACCAAAAGCAATATACAGATTAAATGCAATCTCCATCAAAATTTCAACACAATTATTCCCTGGTCTTGAAAAGACAATTTTCAGCTTCACATAGAAACCAACAAAAACTCAGGACAGCTAAAACAATCCTGAATAATAAAGGAACTGCTAGAGCTAGAACGATCCTTGAATTCAAGTTGAACTAAAAAGTAATAAAAACAGCATGGTATTGGCACAAAAATAGACATGTTGACCTGTAATTGTTTATTGGTTTGTTTTTTACTCTTTAGGGGCCCACCACCCAGCTCCCAAATAAATACACAGAAACTTGTTCTTACTTACGAACACCTGGCCTTAGCTTGGCTTATTTCTATCCAGCTTTTCTTAACTTAAATTATCCCATCTCTCTTTTGCCTCTGGGCCTTTACCTTTCTCTATTCTATACACTTCCCTTTCCTTCTGGTTGTGTGGCTGGTGGCTGGGCTCTGGCATCCTCCTCTCCTTCTTCCTTTCTTGTTCCACCCTCTTCAGGTTTTTCTCCTTCTATTTATTCTCTCTGCCTGGCAGCCCCACCTATCCATCTCCTGACTTGCTATTGGCTGTTCAGCTCTTTATTAGACCATTAGGTGTTTTAAGCAGGCAACGTAACACAGCTTTACAGAGTTAAACTGCTGTGGGATGGTCTGTATGTCAAATGCTTTGATTGGTCAATAAATAAAACACTGAATAGCCAGTGGCCAGGCAGGAAGTATAGGCAGGACTAACAAAGAGGAGAATTGAGAGAACAGGAAGGCAGAAGGAGAGTCACTGCCAGCCACCACCATGACAAGCAGCATGTGAAGACGCCGGTAAGCCACGAGCCATGTGGCAAGGTATAGATTTATAGAAATGGATTAATTTAAGATATAAGAACAGTTAGCAAGAAGCCTGCCACGGCCATACAGTTTGTAACCAGTATAAGTCTCTGTGTTTACTTGGTTGGGTCTGAGTGGCTGTGGGACTGGCAGGTGAGAGAGATTTGTCCTGACTGTGGGCCAGGCAGGAAAACTCTAGCTACATTAAACAAATGCAACATAAAATAATGCACCACATCTTTGCAACATTAAATATTCCATTTTCCCCTTTTTTTGTCTAAATAAAAATGAAAGGTTTTAACTTCAACATAATAAAACTACATACAACAAAAATAGTTATTAAATAAGAATTACATTTACAATATTCAGTCCATTTGTATTTGGCAAGTTCAGGAAAATATTCCATTATATATCTTACCTTAATGATTTCAAAGGTTTACATGTAATTTACTTCCTATCATAACTAATGGAAACTATAACTCTTAACTATTTAGTCTAACTCCATCAAAGACCCCAGAAGGATATAATATTACAACAGAGAGATCTGGCTGCCTGGACAGTCACCCAAAGTTCCTCTGCAACATTGGGCATCCATCTTCAGCCTACAGGCCTAGAATATCTGTCAGACTTTTCAGTAAAGCAGGAAATTTGAAGGACTGCCCCATCTTATATTGATAAAGTTCATCAGTCGTTTTCCTCTGTGTCCTGCAGAATGTCTGGCAGACTCTTCTGTGAAGCAGGAATCTGGAAGGACTGTCCTACCTTGACAAAGTTCCACAGTCTTTCTCCAGACCCACTTGTGCAGTCTGAACAGCACAGTCAGCAGTCAAGGCAAGAGCAGTTTCTTGCCCAAATAGCTAGCTTTTGCCACAATGAAAGCAAGCTCCATATGGAGTTTCTTCGATGCTCATCATCTTCTCTGAAGTAAATTGGTGCTGCTAGAAGCAGATGTGTCTCATTGTCTTGAAAAACCTCAGGTTATTAAATATCTTGAAAGCCATATTCTGTATGTCTTGGAAGTGTTTAAAAATAATGTCTAAATTATACCTGTTTAGCCTTGAAAACATACCTAGTGGTACTAGAAGTTTGATTACTAGAGATTAACTACTAACCACATTTCATAATTTATATATTGCATTTTTAAATGAGCTGGTAAGCACAATACCCCAAACAAGAGTAGAAACATATATACAGTGTAACAAAAATAACTTTAAATTTGTATCAATATACCAAAATCCATGCCAATGCCAAATATCTGAGATTAATAGGTATCTTTTTATCCTATATTCCTATATTTCCCTAAATGATAACAAATATCCATAACCCACCAAATAACCAACAACCACTCACCCCATCTCTTGGGAATGTGGGCATCATCTTCACTAGACTGCTTCCAGTTGTCTGTGGGCAAAGGCATCTTAGGGGAGAAAATTGAGATAATGGCCAAGTCTTGTGAAGACCAGCTATAACTTTTGTTGATACATATCACCTATTAAGATTCAGGAAGTCTCCCTGATCAAATCTGATCCAATAGCAACCCTGAAGGAACCCATAGCCTCTTGTTTCCTGTGGAAATAAAAGCAAAACCTCTTCTCCAAAGCAATGCAATTTTAGTTCCATTTTAAAGTTAAGGCATTCTTAAAATATCTAGGCTGGTTTATTTCATCAGTCCTCTTTCAATCCCATGTCTCTTAGCAGCTGTCATTTGCTTACCCAGCAATCAAAATATTCAAAATCAACACAATACTATATAGGATCCAGACTCCCTGTATATTTTCTATTGGTGTGCAGCTTTTTTCTTTTATATTACTTTTACTCTCTCTTTAAAGACTTCATTATTTTTAAACTATTTCTTTCTATGACTATCTATACCCTTTTTCTTTTCTTTCTTAAGCCTCAAGCATTTTTAAATACACTGGAACCTGTTTAGAGGTTTTTTTCCATCTGGACCTCTTTACTATGTATCTCTAGTCTTTCTTGACTGCATGAGCCTTTAAACTGCTAAGCAGCACAGCTAGGAAGCTAGGACCTCTGCTGTGGCATTGGCGGCTGGCTCTGCCCACTTTTCAGGTCTGCAAAAGCCAAGCCACTTGCAGGCCTGTCAGAGGTGCATTTGACCAGAAACTGCCCTCAACCCCCAGCTCTGAAATGCTAGTACCCTGCACTGTGGGAGGCATTTTTTACTTAGTTTTTTGTTTCTACTTAGCATGAAAAAGGCTGTTTAAGTGCTCTGCTGTACAGCAGGATTTCTTAAAGGAGCTGTATCTTTTTTTTTAAGCTGTCTCAGGCCCTATGTGGAAATCTGGACCAACATTGGAACACCAAAAGATGTAGTTGTTGTTTTTTACTCTTTGGGGGCCCAACACCCAAATAAATACATGGAGACTTGTTCTTACTTATGAATTCCTGGCCTTAGCTTGACTTATTTCTATCCAGCTTTTCTTAAATTAAATTATCCCATCTACCTTTTGCCTCTGGGCTTTTACCTTTCTCTATTCTATATACCTCTCTTTCCTTCTTACTCCTGGTCTGGCTGGTGGCTGGCCTCTGGAATCCTCCTCTCTTTCTCCTTTTCTTGCTCTTCCTTCTCTTTCTTCTCCTTCTATTTATTCTCTCTGCCTAGCAGCCCCTGCCTAGTTATTGGCCATCCAGCTCTTTATTAGACCAAGCAGGCAAATACAGCTTCACAGAGTTAAACAAATGCAACATAAAAGAATGCAACATATCTTTGCACCATTAAACAAATATTCCACAGCATAAACAAATGTAACACATCTCAAACTAATGTTCCACAAAACTGACCAATGGAATCCAATTGAACACTCAGACATTGTAGACTGAAGTTTCTTGGTCCCACTCGGTCCCACTGGGACCCGCCTGAGCAGCAGCCATTTTTATAAAATAATCACTCAGAGGCTTAATATTAATCACAAACTGTTTGATCTATGGCTCAGGCTTATTGCTAGCTAGCTATTACATCTTAAATGAACCCATTTCTACTCATCTACGTATCCCCATGTGTCTCATGGCTTTACCTGTGTTCTATTACATCTTGCTCCCCTTGCAGCTAACGGTATCTCCCCGACTCTGCCTTTCTTCTCCCTTTATCTCTCTTGGATTTTCCTCCTGGCTATAACCTGTGTTGCCATAGTCCAAAACAGCTTCTTTATTATCCAATAGTAGCAACACATATTCACAGCGTACAGAAAGACCATCACACAGCAAGACATAAATCCACACACCTATGGACATCTGATTTTTGACAAGGAAGCCAGAAATACACACTGGGAAAAAAAGACAGCATCTTCAACAAATGGTGCTAGACAAACTGGATGGCTGCATGTAGAATAATCCAAAATGATCCATAGTTATCACCCTGCACAAAATTCAATTCCAAATGGATGAAAGACCTCAACATAAAACCAGATACACTGAACCCAATAAAAGAAAAGCCTTGAACTCATCAGCACAGGAGAAAACTTTCTGAACAAATCACCATTAGCATAAGCACTAAGAACAACAATTAATAAGTGGGACCTTATGAAACTGAGATGCTTCTGCACAGAAAAGGACACTGTCCTTTGGACAAAGTGACAGGCTACAGAACGGGAAAAGATTTTTACCAACTACACATCTGATAGAGAACTAATATCCAAAATATATAAAGAACTCAACAAAGTCCATAACAAGAAATCAAATAGCCCAGTTAAAAACTGGGATACAGATCTAAAGAGAGAATTCTCAAGAGAGGAAACTCAAATGGCTAAGAAACACAGAAAAGTTCAGCTCCTTAGCCAACAGGGAAATGCAAACCTAAACTACTTTGAGATTTCATCTTATACCTACCAGAATGGCTAGGATCAACAACAAAAGTGACAGGTCATGCTGTTGACGATGTGGAATAAGTGGAACATTCCTCTATTGCTGGTGAGAGTGCAAACTTGTACAGCCACTAAGGAAATCAGTGGTGGCAGTTCCTTGGGAAGATGAGAATTGATATAACTCAAGACCCAGCTACTCCACTGTAGCATGAATCTTAACAGTTCTTATTAATAAGATCAAACCCAGGGCCAGTTATTGGGGTGAATACTGGAAGATCAGAGAGACAGAACGAGCCACAGCTAACCTCACCTGGCCAACTTCTCAGCTGGTTCTATTTTCTCAGACTGGAAGCTTCTGTGTCCTCATCCCAATGGCTCTCAGCTGAACTGCTGCTCGAAAGCCTGAAGCTTAACCAGCTAAAAGCTTAACCAGCCAAATGCCTCTAGTTTCTGGTCTCCACGCCTTATATATCTTTCTTCTTTCTACCACCACTCCCTGGGATTAAAGGCTCACTTTCTGGGATTAAAGGCATGAGTCACCATGCTTGGCTGTATCCTTGAACACATGGATTTCTGCCTCTGGAATGCTAGGATTAAAGGCGTGTGCTACCACTGCCTATCCTTTATGTTTAATATTGTGGCTGCTCTGTCTCTGACCCCAGATGAATTTATTAGCATGCACAATATTTGGGGGAATACAATACCACACTCCACTCTTGGGCATATACCCAAAGGATCCTTCCCCCTACTACAATGACACTTGCTCAACCATTTCCTTGATGCTCCATTCATAATAATCAAACATTGGAAACAACAGAAGACTGGGTAAAGAAAATGTGGTACATTTATACCAATGGAGTATTTATAACAATGGATTATTACTCTGCCATTTAAAAAATGCCATCATGAAATTTGCAGGCAAATGAATGGAACTAGAAAAAAGCATCCTGAGTGAGGTATCTCAAACCCAGAAGTACAAATATGGTATGTATTCACTTGTATGCAAATATTAGCTGTTAAGTCAATGATAACCAAGCTATAGTTCATAGTACCACAGAGGATAGTTATAGAGCACAGGACTAAAGGGAACACTTAGGAAAGGAAAATGGAATAGATAATATGGATGAGGCAGAGGTGCAATGCGAGGATCAAGTGGTGTGGGGGAGATGGAATTGTGGGAGGAAATATGGGGAGATACAACTAAAATTAAGGGGTATTTGAGGAGTAGTATGGAAACCTAATACAACAGAAACTTCCTAAAATATACACATATGAAGACCATCTAAATGAGATCACCAAACAATGGAGGAAGACAGTCCCAACTGGCCATCTCTTGTCACCTAACAAAACTTCCAGTACCAGAACTAGGTTACAACTCATTGAGTTGTTGGCCAAAGAGGCTCCATTGAAATTCCCCCAAACAACCTATACTGTTGCCAAGACTATAGGTGGCTCTCCACAAACAGACAGCAGGGTCCCATTGCTGAAGACACCTACACAACTCATTGAACATGGAGATGTCCAGCTGGTGCCTGCATAGAGTCTCCATTCCAATGCTCTAGCATCTTTGGTATAGAAAAGGTACTCAATGCTACCACAAGATAAATGCAAACACTAAGTCAGCCACAAACTCTTTATCTACAATGGTGTAATGTTTGCAAGGTAACTAGGGCAATGGTGGCACAAAGCCTGTGGGAGGAACCAACTAATAACTAATTTGACTTAAGGCCCACTCCACAAGATGACACTGCTTGGGTGATCAAGAACCTGAGACTAGATAGCGCAGGGAACATGTGTAAAATCAAATAATATTGGCCTAAAAAAAAGGAGAAAAAAAACTCTAATGATATTCTGCTATACTCATAGATCAGTGCCTTGTTCGGCCATCATCAGAAAAGCTTCCTCCTGCAGCAGATGAACAAATACAGAGACCCACAGCCAGACATTATTCAGAGAGTGAGATACTTTAGAGTACTCAGCCCTAGATGGGATGTCTCCATTAAATCCCTCCCCTCGGAGCTCAGGGAACCCTGCTGAGGAGGAGGCAGAAAGAGCGTAAGAATCAAAGGGGACAGAGGACACTAAGAAAACCAGGCCTTCTACGTAGACATGAGCAAAGCTCATATGAACTCAGAGACTGAGCATGGTAGAGCTTTCATGAGTCTGCATCAGGTCCTCAGCATATATATTATGGCTTCCAGTTTTGTGGGGGGTTTTGGGATTCCTTGAGTGTGTAAACAAATGGGTCTCTGATTCTTTTTTTTTTTTTTTTTTGGTTTTTTGAGACAGGGTTTCTCTGTGTAGCTTTGCGCCTTTCCTGGGACTCACTTGGTAGCCCAGGCTGGCCTCGAACTCACAGAGATCCGCCTGCCTCTGCCTCCCGAGTGCTGGGATTAAAGGTGTGCGCCATCACTGCCCGGCTGGGTCTCTGATTCTTATGCCTTCTCTTGGGCTCTTTCCTTCTGTTGCTAACTTCAATGTGATAGTTTTTGTTTTATCTTATATTTTATTTTGTTGTATCTAAAAATGAGCAAATGAATGAAATGAATGAATGAAAACCTAGCCACTAGGGCAAAGGTTTAACAACTGAACTGTCATTTATACTACTGGGAGACAGAAAATTAGTTTTCTTCAATGGATGACACTGGGTAGGTATATCAACCACTCCAGGAGAGGCTTCATGTTCAAGAGTAGTTGAACAACATATGATGGTCTCCACAGTTATTTTGTGTGCTTTTATGTGGTTACAGTTTGGTGTTTTGTTTTCTGTTTGAGTGTTTATTTGTTTTCTTAGTTGGTGGGGGGTTGTTGTTGTATTGGGTTTTTTTTTTAAGGTTTATTTATTTTGTATATAGTGTTCTGCCTGCATGCCAGAAGAGGGTGCCAGTTCTCATTACAGATGGTTGTGAGCCACCATGTGGTTGCTGGGAATTGAACTCAGGACCTCTGTAAGAACAGCCAGTGCTCTTAACCGCTGAGCCATCTCTCCAGCCCATGTATTGGGTTTTTGTTTATTGAGAAAAAAAAAACTTAAAGTTGGGAGGGAGGGAGGGGAATGAATCTGGAAGGACTTGGGGGAAGGGAAGAGTATGATCAAAAATATATTTTTATATGGTTGTCCTGGATCTCACTTTGTAGAATAGGCTGGTCTTGAACTCACAGAGATCTGCCTGCTTCTGCCACCTGAGTGCTGGGATTAAAGGTGTGTCCACCACCACCTGGCTCTACCACATCTTTTTCTCTTCCATTTTCTTTTCCTTTCTTTCTAGAGCCTTCTACCCAGGTGTTCATAAATAGTCCATGTACTTAAGGTCTTTGAGATATCTCCAAGGTTAGACCTGGGTTCCACTCATGTCTCCAGTATTATCAAGAAAAAGCTGATCAGTTCTCTGTGGAACCATCTCACCTGGATATGATCAGAGGAACCCAGACCAGCACATCTGCTTCTGAAGGGCAGTGAGCACGAGCAACACTGTCGGCCTGGAATGAAAGCCCTGCTGCTGCCCTTAGCACTACACAGACATTCCATTCAGAGAAGAGCCTACAAGCAAAATCTGCGTGAGCCAAGCACAAGCGATGGGCTTGTTTGCCTTTGTCACGTACTTATATGAGTTGGGAGGTCTGGGAGACACACCGAGCTAACTGTGCCTAGCAGTGGAGTCCTGGCTAGCTTTAGTTAACTTGACACAAGCTTGAGTTATCTGAAAGGAGGGAACCTCAATTGAGAAAACGCCTCCATAAGATCCACTGTAAGAAATTTTCTTAATCAGTGGTCAATGGAGGAGGGCCCAGCCCATTGTAGGTGGGACCATCCCTAGGCTAGTGATCCTGAGTTCTGTTAAGAAAGTAGGCTGAGCAAGTCATGATGAGCAAGCCAATAAGCAGTACCCCTCCACGGCCTCTGCATCAGCTCCTGCTTCCAGGTTCCTGCCCTGCTTGAGTGTCTTCCCTCACTGCTTTAGATAAATTGATATATTGGACTGTAAGCAAATAAACCCTTTCCTCCCCAACTTATTTTGGTCATGGTGTTTCATCTCAGCAATAGTAATCCTAACTAAGACAAGCTGCTAGGGGGCTCATGAATAGACATCTCTTTTCTCTATAATGGGGAAGGAAAAAGCCACTTCCTACAGTAATGAAATGATCCAGTAGGTGCCACCATGGGCTTCTATGCATCACTGGAAAGAAATCATTGCCATTCTGAGGCCAGAGGAGAATTCAGAGAACCCTAATCCCCCAGTTATTTTCATCTGTATCCAGTGCTCTCGGTCTTGGCTGGTGAGCAGGCTGTAGAGCTTTTGCATGCTCCTGGGCTTGCTTTGTCCTAGATTATGCACTGCTGGAGGACAAGGGAGCTGTGATGTCACCTCACATAAACCAGATACATGTTGGGGCCTCCATGCACAATTCCACAGCACATGATAAAGTGCTGAGCACAAGGATGAACCCAATGAAGGGAGTGAGCCTGCCCTTGTTGGCAAGATTGAATTCTGAAAGCATTTTCAGGAATTTTGTTTTTGAATACTTACAGAAAAAAGCAAGGGAAGGTAGTAGCCCCCTCTACTTAATTCCTACACAGTTGGAAAGTTGGGTGTATTTAAACATCCCAAGCACTTGAGCTATCTAGTGTGTGAAGTTCAGATGCAGACAAGAGCAGAACATACCACACACCACGAACAGACCCCAGATAGCACTAGGCATGCCATGGTCCAGGGCCAGCAGTTCTTAGCCAGCAGGCAGGGATGCACAGAATGGAATTCTAACCAGGAATCAGCAGACCATGAGAAACAAACACATTTTTGAGCTGTCAGTCAGCAAGAGGCTGGGACCCAAGACTCCAGGTGAGACAACGCAAAGTAACATGGTACCAGTGAGGCAGGTACAGAGCGGTCTAGTCCTGCTTCTCAGCCCCAGTACTGATGTCCTGACATTTCTGGAATTGAAGTACAGCTTGGGATCAAAACAGCAGAAGCATGGGGAGGGGGTGGCACTCGTGGACAGGCATGTGGGACACAGTACCAAAAACAAAGCAGGCTTGGAGTGGGCCCTCTGCTGGGCTAAGCTTGGGTGCTCTGCATTTGGGCTGCCACACAGGGAAGCACGGCTACTGAACAGTCTGAAAGCATCTTCAGTCTGAAGCACTCAATTAAAGGCAGGTTTTATGCAATGATTTGCTGTCTGGGTACACAGTATAACTACAGAAAGTAGACACTTCTCAATTTCTCAACAAATCTCAAAATATGCCAAAAAATTTTTAGAATGAAAAGGGTTGTATGACAAGTTAATATGAGAGACAATGTCTTTGCCATGGAACAGCTGTGAGAGCTGACGGCTACCCAAGATGCTTCATTCCCTGTAGTAACTACAGAAACCACTACTTGTAAGGACCTGTACCAACAACTCCTGGGGCTGATGATGCTTACCTTGGTGCTCTGTTCTCTGAATACCAAGGTCAGGATTTTCAGGAACAACCTCCAGAAGGCATTAAGACCACAGAAAAATGTTCTCTGAAAACAAGAACTCAGAATCCCTCCCAGGACAAGCCGAGATCTTTCTGGGGGGAATGTTGAGGCCTGGTCTGGGGTGGCTGTGGATATCAGGTTTGGGGAAAAGGAGGACAAAAGGAATCATTCACCTCTGACAGCACGGGGCAAGGTGCTGATGGAACACACTGAGGAGAGCCATGAACAGCCCAGGACATTGTTGGAATCACTAGATACCTGAGAGAGGCAGACTGCTGCGGGACGTGCAGGCAAATGAGAGCTACAGTTCATGGCTTAACATCCAGCAAGCCACATACAGAAAGGAGAAACAGAAGCTGAGATGTGTGCAGTATGATGTGAATGTCTTACATGCAACATCTGGATGGGGAGGTGTCCCCACATCTGGGCTCCTTCATGTCATGGAGAGTAATGTTTTGAAAGTATTACTATAGTGCTGCTTTTCCTGGAAAAGCTAATATGAAATTAGTGATGAACCCACAGTGCAGGGTAGAGGAAATCTGTTCATCCATGGAATGCTGGGTAACAAGAGACTCCAGACAGCATTGGCAGCAAATACAGGGACTCCATTTGGAGGGATGGCAGCAGAGGCTGTGTCTGAAGTAGCATGGTGAGTCTGACAGCATGAGAAAATATACCCTGATAGACACACATATCAGACATGGGCTGGAGTGGTTGTGCTGGGATCCCATGCAGACCAGCAACACTGAGGTTTTCTCTGTAGAGCAGTGGTTCTCAAACTTTCTAATGCTGCAGCCCCTTAATACAGTGCCTCATGTTGTGGTGACCCCCAACCATAACATTATTTTCATTGCTATTTCATAACTGTAATTTTGCTACTGTTATGAATTATAATGTAAATATCTTATATGCAGGACATCTGATATGTGGCCCCTGAGACAGGGTGGCTCAACCCCCAAAGAGTTTGTGACCCACATGTCGAGAACTGCTGCTGTAGCTGTTTCTGGTTTTCAGGTTTTGTTTGGGAATTACCTGGAAGATGTTGTTAATCTTCAATAAAATGAAAGTTCTATATCCCTGATATATGAGAACAAAACAAAATAAAAAGTTGCATATGCCCAGTATTTATCTCAGAATGTAGGACATATACTTCTTGTAACAGGAGGCAGGCACACTGTGTGCAAAGTCCTATCAACCATCAAGAACCACTGACAAAGGGTCACTTAGGAATCTCATGGCACAGGCCAAATTTGACAAGCTGAGTATGAATGTGGTCGATTCCAATTTCACTAAAACATTCCCAAGAAGGTTTGGTGGTAATACTCACCATGCCTGCTGAAGCCTCCCAAGGCCCCTAGGCGACACCAGACTTAGGACCTTCCATGCATGTTTATTTCCATGTCTGACCTTCAACCTCCAGTGAGCCAGCCCTCTGCTTGTGGCGTCTCAAGGGATAGTGTTTAGACTGCAATCACAGCAGACTTCATAGGTCACCAGCTCCAGCGGGATTCGGGCAGGGTGTGGGAGACCTGTGGGGAACTCAAGGCTGTGTCCCATGGAAACTATTCAAACGTTTATAAAACATTGCAAAGGTCAAACAAAATACTTCTGTAGGCAGGTCCTCTGATTTATGCTGGAGTTGGCTTACCCACCCACACCACAAGGCCAGCATAATTCTTACCCGTCTTTGGTTCCCCAACTCTCAGCTCAGTACCTGCTCATAGCAGATTCAAGAAAAATGTTTAGCACACAAGGCTGAGAAAGAAGCGGGTTATTATGGCACAGCGGAGAATACAATGTTCATTCCTGCAGCACTCGGTGAACACCCTTCTGTGTCAGGGCCAACTAACCCAACCGGATGTGGGTGTGAAGGAAGTACTAGCCAGGCTTAACAGTGAGGCTGGGACAGGCTAGGTAAATCCACACAAAGTCATTACTGTTGGGGAGCCACTTCAAGTCCCACTGCTTCAAGAGAGACTGAGTATCTGGGACACAGTGTGGGCAGTTGTGCCAGGGAGTTTAAGGAAAAAAATGAATCATCAGGACATATGCAATGAGGTCCCTGATAATATTTAATGGCCTTTTCCCCACAAAAATGAAAGAAGAGACATTCCAAATCACCTTTTCCAAAGTATGCTCTAAACAGGACCCCACAAAACAACTCTTGAGTCTTATTCTCGGTTCTTATCCTGTCTTCCAAGATCAACCCCCAAATATCAGCCAATCCAGCACTTACTGTCTCTTTAGAATGAAGACCTTAGTGTCTGCAGCTCAGAATACCCAGCGTCATGTGAGGAAAGAGATGACTTTCAGAAAATGTGATGCAGGCATGGGCAGAGGCTCTCTTCAGACCATGTAAAGAAGGGACCAATATCCCAAAAAGATCAGAATGTCTTAACAATAGCAAATTGAACAAATCTATCAACAGATTTGCTATACAAATACACTACATTGATTTTATTTTTACAGATGTATGTATATTTATATATTTAAAAAATACTAAAATGTAATAATATGAAGCATATTTCTCCTCTATGGTAAGACTGTATTTTTCTTTCATTTTTTTATTATCTACAATGATCCAATTATCTCCATTGTGCAACTATTAACGCTTACAATTTGAAAAAATAAGCATAACTTAAAAGAATATTATAGTGTCCTGATTTTAATAAGCTCTTAATGCATAAGAGTTTATACTTAAGTTCAAGTAAAAATATGAGCATGTTTATTTATTTTATAGCTTTAGATAATGCTATCATGTTGGGGAAAATGCTTATTCTAACCACCGTGAGAAAGTAATTCAGAGAAGCAGAGGGGTCAGTTCAATGAAGCATTTCCTGAGGACTGAGCCAGGCGAGGTCAGACACAGCGGTGCTCAGCACTGCCCCGAGTTGACCCAGGCCTGGAGGTATGTCCCACATCCCACCTGAGGACGGAAGGCCCTGCAGGACCAGCAGCAGTGGGAACACTGAAGGTAATGGCCTCCTGGAATCGGGGTCTGGACTCAGCCTGGGAGTCCTGAGAGGGGAGCTGGAGGGATGAGGGCCAGAATGTGCTGCTTGCTGGTTCAAACACTGCTGAAGAAGATCCTGCTGGCTGATGGCGCCAATTTAGCATTATACAGGTGGAAACTGCTTCTTTAGAACAAGGCTCAGGGTTTACAAATCTTGTTTTAGCTATTTAAAAGGCCCCCTCTCATCCCCGTGGGAAAAAATTTAAGGCATCTAAGAAAAATCAACTTATATGGATTAAAGACTTAAAAGTAAGATCTGAAACTATGAAGCCACTAGGAAAGGACACTGGGGAAATGTTTCAGGTCGATGGAGTGGGCACAGATTTTCTGGATAAGAGCCCAGGAAGCAAGAGCAGAAATAGACACAGGATTACATCAAACCAAAACGCTTCCTTACTGCAAAACAAACCATCAACAGAGCGAAACCTGTGGGGTGGGAAGAAACTTGTAAACTAGTCACCCAACAAGGAATTAGCTTCCAGCGTACATCCAGAGCTCAAACGGAGCTCGCACAACAGCAGTAAGATAGTGATGATGACCCTATTAAAACGGCAACAGACTTAAGTAGACAGTTCTCAAAAGAAAATATACAGGGATGGCCCATGGATATATTTAAAAAGAAACGACTGCACTTGTCATCAGGGAAATGAAATCAAAACCACAATGAGATGTCGCCCCAATCTAGTTAGGATGACTACTATCAAAAAGACGGGACAGTGAGAACGGGAGCCAGATACAAGCTGGCAGCCATCTACATTCCCATCTCCAGCATCCAAAAACACGGAAGTTCCTTCAAGATTCCCTGAAAGCTATCTGCACATCTTTGTGTTCCTGAGATGCTAGTTTCCCAGGTGTGGACCAGGTGCTGTTGACTAAGATGTTCACCAGTGGAGCAGCGTGGGAGGAGAAGAAGCCGCCCTGGACCCCCTTTTACCCAGTGTCAGCGCCCCCTGCCGCTGCTCTGCTGTGTGTGCTTTCTTGTGGACAACAGCTGTCCCTGTGGCGGTGGCTGGAATGAGTTATAAGGAGCCCAGGAAGAAACATCTGGCCTCATTTACGGATGTCCTGCCCACTACATGTTACCACTCACAGGCTTCCCATACAGACACATGGGACTCCATGGGTGCCATGAATGGACAGCAGTGTTTCTGGTCCTCCCAAGTCATCGGTGCCCTGGAAATGCAGACAGGTGATTTTTTGAGGCATTTGATAGCCTCACGTTTGATAGCACAGTGTCGAACCCTAGAGTCAGCACCCACTCCCTGGAAACACATCATCCAGGGACTGGACACTACAGCGAGCAGCCACTGACACACCATCCTTCAGAGAACAGTGTGAATTGGAACGTGAACAAAATACAGGCGCTAAAAGGTGCATTTCCGGCTTTCAATGAGCAGTGCAGCAAAGTTCGGGAAAGTGCCATGCTCAGAGGAAGATAGCCTGTATATAATCCGGTTTTCTAGATGGCACAGCAGTGAATGGATAGCTTTTGAAATCAAACACATCACCTTAAGAAACAATCCACAAATGGGCTCAAAGGGTGACTAAATGACTTCTACCCACGCGGAGTTTACAAAGCTGGTAAGACAGAGATGTGCCCACAATTCATCGGTTAGGTTTAGACAGAATAACCAGGGATACCACACAGTCTGGGCAGGAAGATGGAGGTGGGTAGATTCTGACTGGATGAGGGAAACCGTCATACAGGCACAACATTCCATCTGTCCCATCTGCTGAGAATGATACAAAAGGCTGCTCCGTGAAAGCCCTCCAGAGGCCTAAAGGCCTCACCTTGAGGTCAGACTCAAGGCCGCGTTCTTGGGCTGCATGCTGCCTCAGACTCCTGAGATTTCCAAAGTCACAGTGTGATTACTTTGTGCTATTTTACTTTTCCCCAAATATCTGTTAAATTTTTTAAATAGAAAATTACAAGTAGTTAGACATAGAAACTAAATTATGTTCAAGCAACTCAGTCTATTCAGAGAGAGAGAGAGAGAGACAGACAGACAGACAGACAGACATTTGGAAAGCCAAACACAGAAAAGAAAAAAATTCTTACCAGAGCAGCACTGTGATTATAGTCAGGACCTATTCACACACTGGAGAAACACTCCCAAGTACAGGCTCCTCACATGCTGCACCAGGCTAAGGCTGAGGGTCAGCCCCCAGAAGTTTCTCTCTGAAGCTCAAATAAATAATATATGAGAGATAGAGTAACAGATATATAACTAAGTGATAAGAGATATACGATATAGATAATTGACAAGTGACAAGCACTTAGTCATATGATAGATGGATATGCACAGGACAAGCAGACAATGGATAAGGCTACAGAATGATCATTATGGACAGACAAATGGTGGTTAGATGATAATAGTAGATGGACAGATAAAAACAGAGCCTGAAGCTCTTTGCCCTGGCTACAACTGAGAACCATCATGACACTCTGAAAACAGACTGAGGAAGTGGTGTGGGTGACCCTACCACAGCATTTTTGAAGATAGCATCAGTACTTTAATTTGCAGCCTAGGGTTGGAAATCAGGCTGTAAGCATATACATAACATTAAAATATATGTGTGACCAGAAAAGGCTTGGTCCCTGGTGACACTTGTGGAGGGCTGGAAGCATTCTAAACAGATCACTTCTTATCTTAAACCTGACATTGCCCAGGGCCTCCCTCAAGTTTTCCCACAGGCCATGGGTGTGGGTGAGCTTTTAGGAGGAGCTGAACAGGCAAGGCCTGGACTGTCAAGGGTGGCCTCCAGGAGCAGAGTGTATAGTCCACATCTCTCTGCAGTGCTCAGCAAACTGCTCTGGGGCTACCAGTGCCATTGCCCAGGATGCCTTCCTGAAGTTGAGTTCAAAAGCTGGCAAGCTGGGTGAGTGCTGGCTAAAAGCCCCACTAACGAAGCAGCTTCGTTAGTCATTAGCCCCCAGTGATCACCGATGTGTGCCTGTCAGGCTCCTGGACTGAGCAAGTGACTACGGTGTGCATCCTTCACAGCAGAGAGCAGGGCTACGGACCCTGCAGAGCATGCCTTGGCTTCCTCCTGGTCCTTCGGCAGAGACACTTTCCTGAGCTGCACAGCAGTGCTGCTATGCAGTTACTGTGATGAGGATCCTGCTGGAGACTTTAAACAAAAACTGGTGTCTATAAAAGTTTGCTCTGGTCCATTCTGACCTTGATGGTTTATAAAAAAAAAAAAAAGAAAGAAAGAAAGAAAGAAAGAAAGAAAGAAAGAAAGAAAGAAAGAAAGAAAGAAAGAAAGAAAGAAATAGGGCTGGCAAGATGGCTCAGTGAGTAAAGGCACTTGCTGCCAAGACTGACAACTTAAGTTTGATGCCCAGATCCTACACAGTGGAGAGGACTGACTCTTAGAACTGCCTTCCATATATGTGCTATGGCATGCACACTTGCACATACTTAGGTGTACACATACACACCACCTACACAAATAGATGCAAAAGTAGTTTTAGTTATAAAAGATTTATTTCTCACCCCTGGACGTGTGACGTCCAAGTTGAATGCTAGCTGGGGAAGGCTGTCCTCATAATCTCAGAGTCTAATTAAAGCTGCCCCACATGCACATGGGTGTGGGGCCAGCCACTGGTGCATAGTGTACCTACCAGGTGTCATACCCTTAAAGAAAACTGACTTTCCCTCTCCTAGCTGCTGGGGATGTTGTGAATGTGTTGCTCTGACTGATAAATAAAAATGCTGATTGGCCAGTAGTCAGGCAGGAAGTATAGGCAGGACAAGCAGAGATGAGAATTCTGGGAAGAGGAAGGCTGAGTGAGAAGACACCAGCCTGCCATCCAGGGAGCAGCATGTAAAGGCAACAGGTAAAGCCACAGAACATGGGGCGACATATAGATTAACAGAAATGGGTTAATTTAAGATGTCAAGAGCTAGTCAATAGTTAGCCTGAGCTAATGGCCAAGCCATTTTAATTAATATGAGCTTCTGAGTGATTATTTTATAAGTGGGCTGCAGAACTGTGGGGCCCAAGTAGGACCAGGAAAACTCCAACTGCACCCAGCAGCCATCAACTGTCAACAGTTCCTCAGCTAGGAGTCAGGGCTTGTGAGTCCCTCCATTCTCAATGCTCAAATGTTCAGTAGCGTGATACTGTGCAAGTGTTGTGGAGGTAACCACGGCCTTTGTGAGTCCACAAGAGGAGTGGTCTCATCATCTCCCAGTCCTCTCCAACCGCAGGCTCTTAGTCTTTCTGCCTCTTCTTCTGTAATGTTCCCTGAGCCTTGGGGGAAGGAAGGAGGTGTGGTGTAGATGTCCCGTTTACGGGTGAAGGGTTGAAGCTTTCTAAAGAGACATTTGTGCTCCCCTTTCAGCTGTCCAGACTACTGCGACAATGATCCTCCAGGCACTGGCATCTCATGCTGGGAAAAAGAAAAGAATGCAGCCGGATTCCAGCCAGAGGAGGAACTCGTCTCCCAAGAAGAGATTTCACAAAGTTCTGACAACTTGTCACACCATCCCTTGCAGGAGATTTGGGAACTGAGACAACGATGGGTCAGTGATGGGTGAAACCACACCACGCACATATATATATATGTATACACACACACACACACACACACACACACATATATATATATATATATGTCATTTATTTATCTTGACATTTAAGCCTCACGTAGGACCACAAAGACGGATTTGGGAGGTCACTGTACCTCTTTCTTGGTTCCTTTTCTCAGTGTGGCACCATTGAATAAATTTCCTTTTCATTATCATGTTAATTGAGACCTACCAAAGACAGGTAGCCAGGTCTGCTTGTTAGGGCTGCCAGGGCCCAGGCTCTGACCCTAACAATGCTGATAACAAGCACAGCTCCCTGAAATGTGGAAGTTCTTTTTGGAAGTTCCTTTTTAGGGTTTCCTTGGGACCGCCTAGGACTCATTTCTGCTATAATGTGTTTATCCGGGTGCTCATCTCCCCATTCTCACAGCTCCTCTCCTGGAAGCAGCAGCACACAGGATGAGTCCTGCTCACTGCCCACTTCATCACAGCCTCACTTTCCTTAAAGCCCCATGTTGGCACATGACCACTCGTGATGTGTCTCTCCTTGTCCAGTGGGTATTCATTGTGACTCAGTGAATCTCAGCTGCCTTCGGACACCCAGTACTGCTAGAACAGTTTCGAAGAAGGAGGAGGAGGAGGAGGAGGAGGAGGAGGAGGAGGAGGAGGAGGAGGAGGAGGAGAAGAAGAAGAAGAAGAAGAAGAAGAAGAAGAAGAAGAAGAAGAAGAAGAAGAAGAAGAAGAAGAAGCTGTGCCAGAAGTAGGCATTTCAGCTATTTGATGCATATAAAAAAAAACTTTTAAAAAAATGATTTATCCTCTTCGATAAATGTGGAGAATCCTCTCCTTGAATATATGCAGGATTGTATTACTGTGAGAGTTTTCACGTCTATTGCTTCTTGTGTTTGGAATCAAGCATCCAGGCCCCCACTGGGGTTAGTGGACCTGAGGTGGAGACTAGCCAGAGCTCAGATTGATGCTGCTGCCCCCATGTGACTCATGTGCCACACTGCATGCTGCTTCTACGAATGCATTAACCGGCTGTTTGCTGGTTTCTTCCTTATGAACACAGAGGGAACTTCTGGGTGTGGAGCTACCTCTAAGTTCCCTTAGGATAAGCTCACTGAGGCCCAGGGACACGTGCCTTGAGTCATCAGTGTGCTGAGACTACCCAGGCCAAAGCCTTGGAGAGACAGCATCTGCAGACTGGGTGCCCTGCTGGATGCCTCTTTAGATCTGAGGTGTCCACAGAAGCTAGTGAGAACAGGAGCTGCTGGGCAGGGGAAGGGACTGTACCAGGACCTTCAGTCCATCTCCTCAGGACATTAGTGATACCATGCAGCTGGCGGGGTGGGAGGAATTGATATCGGAAGGGGAAGGGGTCCAGAGATTGTTCCTCCAAGACTGGCCTGACCAAACAATGGAGCCCCAGCCCTACCAAGAAACCTGTGCTTCAAACAAGGGCACACCGAGGTGCTAAGCAGAATGTTGAAAGTCTCACAAACCAACACCCTGAACCCTAGATGTCATGGGAAGAATCTGAAGCAAGTCCCAGCCAGACCTGACAAAGACCCCTTCAATAGAGCCTCTCCCCCTACCAGGAAAGCTCAGCAGGAAGAAAGGCACAACTGTGTTGGAGGAGGGGTAATGAAAAAAGTGATACTGTAAACCCTAGGAAATCCACTAAAAACTTTTAAGAGCTGTCAGTGGTAGGTACATCAACATAACACACAAAGTGGAATTACAATAAACACAACTTACTCAAGGCAAAAAAAAATAAAAGAAACACCATTACACCAATTCTGAAATATTCTTTTATTCTTATCCCTCCCCTGGCATTTAGTGTTCCATCAGGCTCCTGGGGATCCTGGCCCTTCTTCCAGCAACTTAGCCCTTTCCTAATAGGGCCTCACAGCCTGCTTTCTCCTTAGTCAGGTGACTCCAGCATCCTCTACGGCTGACTCTGTTAACCTGTTTTAACATCACAATAACCAGAATACTATACAGAAACTAGGAGTGGAACAACTTCAGAGGAGACTGACTTTGTCATCATTTCTGAGGGCTCAGGCCATGGTGTCAGGGAGAGTGTGTGACTCAGTGGAGCAGTTCCCATCATGGAGGGACAGGAAGCCGAGAGAAGGTAATGCTGACCCTCATCTGCCTCTAGGGTCTCAACCCTGGGGACAATGTGGCCCATATTCCAGGGTAAGCCTTCCCCTCAGTTAATCCTCTCTGAACTGCACCCACAAACACAATCCAAGGTGCTCTTCCATTTCCTAGGTGACTCTAAATCCAGTGAGGATTAAACATGGCAAAGAACGCCATGTTGAGTCGACCTCATGCCTGGGTTTGCTGCTCCCTCACTGTCATCTTTCCACTCTGAAGGAGGAGCTGCACACTTCCAGCCAGGGGGAGACTCTCTGATAGGGCACCACAGGCTAGAGTGGTTACCTTCGGTCCTTCACTGTCCCTGTTACCGAGGCCAAGACGGGCCACTGCAAGGAAGTGCAGAGGGAAAGACACACCATGGCTGTCTTCCCTAGAGGGAAGAAGGCGGACAAACAGCTTGGCCCATTTTCCTTTCTCTGTGATGACTGCATTTCTGTATAACTCACAGAATATTCAGCTGTGAAGCTTGAAAAGGAAACACTCTGTGAGACTGTGGAGTGGAGGCCACACAGATTGAGTGACAGGGAAAAGCACGCTATCGAGGATCAACACCAGGCAGGAAACAGTCTCCCAATCCTGTCTGTACTCAGCGCATGACTCTGGTCACATATAATGTGCCACCTCAAAGGCAGTACCTCAAAACCACACAGTCTTCCAGAGGGGCACACAGCCACTAGAGTGCTGGCCCTCCTTCTTACTGTCTTTTCTGTCCATCATACCTTCTCCTGTGATACAAGCCAGCCTGAACAGCCCTAAAGGACAACAACAACAAAAAAAAAAAAAAAAAAAAAAAAAAAACCTAAAGGTTCATCTTCATCTATCCGCATGGTTTTGCATTAAAAATAATCCTCACACACTGCTATGCTTGGGCCATACAACTCAAAAGCACAGCAACCAGGAATCAATCCAGATCCAGCAGAGTCAGCGAAGGATGGAGGTGACTGTCATCCACTGCAATTATCTAAGACTCACAGACACTGAGATCCGGATGAGTCCAAAGAAAGAGGAACGCTGATTCTAACTTTAAGAAAGAAACCTATAAACAGCATCTATCTTAAACATTCTAGACAAATGACTGAGCCCAGTGTCTCAACTCATGCTCATCTGTAACTGAGTCATGAGTTTTATGAAGCTGCAGAAAGGAGATTCCAGCCCTTTGTTTAACACAGCTTGGCTAAGCACACACGTACACAGTGGCACTGTGCCAGTCACATCAACACGACCTCTATCACACATTCTCGCTTCCTGCCAAGAAGTGGCTGCCACTGTGTTCCTCCATCTCTGCAGTTCGTTCCCGTTGCTTCCTGTGATTCCGTGACCAGTATGACAAAGGACCAGCCAACTACAGCAGTCCCTGACTGGGTCAGCATGTGCAAGCTACATGTGTGTGTACGTGTGCATGCCTGCATGTGTGTCTTATTGTGTATGACCTGTACAAGTACACACTGAGACAAGCTGACTTTGGAGAATGGCTCCCTCCTTCTTTAAACTCAAGCATGTTGTTAAAAGGAAAATGCAAACTCCCTGTATCATGCCAGAAGAAAAGAGCCATCTTCTGCTATGGGACAGGAGAAAAGCCAAATTAACTAAGGGACTATTCTATTACTAATCTCAACTCTTTGATTCTATTCTGACTCTTTAAACTTTTTTTAAAGTATGAATTTTATATCAAAATTTACAAGATTAATATATATATATACATTTTAAACTTTGTTAAGATATGAATGGTCATATAGAGTACTAACTAATTCTAGAAAGAAAAAAGGCTTCAATTAGCTGCATATATATGTCTTTGTGTTTGAGTCTCTTATCAGTTTTCTGCAGGAATTCACGGCCAGGCCTAACATCAACTGAAGTCTCCAGGAAGAAGATGGGGCCCCACAACAACAACAATCCCACGCGGACAATAATAACATCACTAAGCTGACAAACATCATCTACAGATCAGCTTTGAACTACAAAGTGCTCAGAGCAATTTTGAGAGGGCTAGCTGAGATGATCCAGTCTCAAAGACTACTTGAATAAGGATTTGAGATAAACCCTGAACTTTGGCATTATACACAGACTGGATAACGAAGGATATAGTTACCTTTCCTAGAATTTGACAATTAACCTAAAATTTTTCTTTTCAGGATAAAGATACCTTCGCCCATATCCAACAGGAAGCAATTTTAAGAATACGACGCCCACATTCCCAAAGAGGTGGTGTGGGGCGGGTGGTTTTGTTTTTTTGTTTGTTTTTTTTTTTTTTTTTTTGGTCTTTTAATGGTTTTTGGGTCTGGAATAATTTTCATTGATTAGGGGGGTTGGTTACAAGTTGTTGTCAGGGGTTAGGGATTTAGCTCAGTGGTAGAGCGCTTGCCTAGCAAGCACAAGGCCCTGGGTTCGGTCCTCAGCTCCGGAAAATTAAAAAAAAAAAAAAAAAGAAAAGAAAAATGTAAATACTTTACATTGGATTGGATTGTTTTATACTGTATACAAATTATATATATTGAAATTGATATTGTTAGAAAATGTTATATGTATATTTCTAATTGTACTTATACCGTTCATTTAACAATGTAATGCAGTTTTCTGAACCTTGAATATTATTACCAACTATTAGGATATAAAGAAATGAAAGTTAGTAGTTAGACATTATAATAGAACTTGTAGTCATATTAGGTATGTTTTCAAGATTCAGCAGATATATTTTAGATAGACAGGTCATCTTCAAACCCTTCAGAGATCTACAGAATATGGCATTTAAAATGTTTTAATAACTTAGAAAATTTTTCTTTTTTGTTATGACTATGAGACATGTTGGCTCCTGGCAGTACCAATCTACTTCAAAGAAAATATGGGCATTGAAGAAACTGCAATTGGAGTTAACTTTCATTGTGGCAAAAGTTAGCCACTGGACAACAAAGTATTCTCAAATCAACTGTTGACAAACAGAACAGACAGGACACGAAACAAAGGACTACTGATTCTTGCCAAAACAAGTGTAGTTATGGCTTTATCAAAAGGCATCTTCTGAGGCCAGGACAATATGGCACCATCCCTGAAGTGGCCTTCGCAATCCGGAAAAGGTACAGTGCCCTTTTCTTCGAAGGCAGCTGAACAGGCAGTGGGCCGATGGCTTCTGATGTGCAATGAAACAGCAGCTGAAACAGTTATTCTTGAAGAGGAACTAAGCTCACGCCTCTCAATAGTAGACTGGCATTTGATAGAGGGATGTGGAGAAGAATGGGATGCTGAGATGAAGCCATATATACACAGCCAAGAAGAATGGACAGCTGAATTCAAAAACCATCAACAATTTCCAGAATTTAAAATCCTGAATCATGACATGACACTAGTGGAATTCAGGTGTTTCTGGTACATGGACTGCTCTCACCCAATGTGAGGTTGAACTGTTGACCTTGTGTACATCCTACTTCACAAATGAGTCTGTCAGATATGCTAAGCCTATAGGCTGAAGATGATGCCCCAGCATTGCGGAGAAACCTCAGGTGACCATCCAGGCAGCTAGCTGTTTATGTCAACTCACAATTTTTTGGAAGTTGCTTGCATGTACTTCCTGTTTTTATTTTTGTTAGCTAATATTATTTCCTTCTTGGGTCTCTGGGGGAGTTGAAGATTAGTTAGTTATAGTCGAAGATTAATTAGGATAGAAAGTGAATTAGATACATTTTGGACTTACCAAAATAGGATAGATAATGGAATTATTTTCTCTGAATTTGTCAAATACAAATGGACTAGACATTGTTTAGGTATTTATTACTTGTATATATTGTATATAGTTATTGTACTTTTGTATATAGTTTTTCTTATGCTAGTTATAAGCTTTTTCCTTTTTTCTTTTTATTAAAATAGAAAAGGGGAAATATGGTCATATTTTATTTGTACTGAAATGTGATTTTATGTGCATGTTAATAAATAAAGTTGCCTGGGGGTCAGAGCTAATAGCAAGCCATAGCAGAGCTGGGCGTTCATGGCGCACGCCTTTAATCCCAGCACTTGATAGTCAGAGCTAGGTAGATCTCTGTGTGTTCAGGGATACAGCCAGCATTGGAGACACATGCCTTTAATCTCAATACCAACCATAGAAGACCTGGAGGTCTATACAGACAGGCAGTGATGAGGCGGTCATGTGGTTGGGTTTACAACCAATGAGAAGGCAGATTTATAAAGACTTTAACACAGGAAGTAGCTCTCTTTCGGAGAGGTAGGACCACCGCAGGAGGAAGGGTAAGGTTTTAGCTCTTAGCTCTGACCTCTTGGCTTTCTTCTTTGCATTGGTTCTGTGTTTCTTATTTAATAAGATGGTTGGTTACATCTACAGATCTGAACTCTTACAATTGACAGATGGGACAGACTAGTCTGAACTATTCTGTCATTTTCACGATAAACAAATGGTCTGTGAGTCAACAGGATGAAAAAGGAGGCAACGACGAACGATGGGCTGCTGGGGTAGTCACACAGACACGGAAAGGGAAAGTCAGACGTACAGCTGCACTGCACCAGAGCAGTAAGGGTCTGTCCTCACAGGCTCAGATGCAGGCAGCACAGTTGTCCAGCTGCCTTCCGGGCCCAGAGCATTCCGGTTCAGGCTGGGAAAGTGCAGAAAGAGTTTAAATGTGCTGCCTGCTTTCCCTACAGATCTGTTGGCAAGAAGCAGGGAGTTTTCCCATGAACTCACCCTCAGACTCATGTGGTTTTGACATGTGTGGCCTTGCAATCCACAAGCTGGGACTTGGACCAAAAGGCAATGGTATTAGGAGATGGTGCCTGTGGGGAGGACGAGCGCTCCTGAGTGGATAGTGCTGCTGTAGCAGAGGGGAAGGGGGCAGAGTAACACTCTCTCTGTCCTTTGCCTTCTGCCACGTAAAGACATGGCTGCATGGTGACATCTTGGAGGCAGAACTTTAAATTTCTAGCCTCTCCAACTATGAGAAACCAGTTTCTGGGATTTACAAATTGTTACAACAGCACAAATAAATTCATGTGTATTCACTTGTATTATTTCTATATGAAGAAGGTTTTCATGCTGAAGCATGCTGTAAAGCGCATCTGACTCGATTCTATGAGTGTCATTCAAATCACACTAAAAGCTGGTGTTCAAAAAACTTGTAAAAACAGAAGGCTGGTGGAGGTCATCTCCAAAGTGAGCAATTTTTGTTTTTACTTTAGATATATGTTCATCATTTTATGCATGGCTAAGAAAATAGTCCATAAAAGTACATTTTCATGGTGGGCTGTTTAAAATCCAGTAAAAAATGTGACAGTATTTTTAAATTGTTCCAAAAATAACTGGAAATACTCTTAGAAGAGCCTTTTGGACATCACTTGGTATTTCCTTTGAAGTTTAGTATATACTAAAATGTTCATTGTTTCCATTAAAAATAGTGATTTATTTCCTGGGAATACCAAAGTACCGTTCTTCTAAAACAAATTATGTACAGAATATACATACTCTATGTACACAAATGCACATGAACACAGAGTCAAGGGATCCATCCTGTAATCAAGTCTTATGTACTCATCATTCTCCTGACACTAAATCTTCATTTCTGAAGAAGTACATGCAGCTGGCTGTGCTCATCTGCCGCTGGGATGGTCCACCGCCTCTTCAGGTACTGGATGTCGACTGTGCCAGAGGCCCTGGCCAACACCAGGGCCACAAAGCTACCACTGACCTTCTCGGGGTCCCCCATGATGGTCATGGCCACCAGCCTACGGGTGAGAGAGAACATGAACTGGGAGGTCAGCATACAAGTGCGTCACTTTCTGTACCCGAGTCTCAAAATGTCTACATTCAAGGGAAGAGTGAAATAGAAGAGGAACTAAAAAATGTTAAAACAAAATACTAGAACAAAAATAAATATAGAAAATCTGTTGAAAACCAATTTCTGCATCTCAGGGATCTGTTGACTGGCAGATCCATGAAGACAGCTCAAAGGATGCCTGTCTGCAGACACCTCCCAACACCCCACAGAAGGGTGACAGACCCCATCTGACGTTCCTCCCTGCTTCGGGAGTCAATACCTTCCAACAGTGGGGCCTTCAAACTGCCTCAGCAGGCCCTCCCAACCACAAAGGCAGTGGGATGATCCCCAGTGTGGGGGTTTCCCAGTATCTCAGGCCACCAATCTCAACCACAGTTGAGTAACTGCCGAGGCCCACAATCTGCTCTCCAGCTGAGGCCTGTCCCTGGGCTTCAGACCCTCAACCTCCTGTGAGCAGCACTATGGTGATATATTGTGCACCCCACTAAAACTTATCTGGGGATCAGAGGACAGAGCCAGCCACTAGATTAGACATAGAGGCCAGGCAGTGATGGCACACACCCTTAATCCGAACACTCAGGAGTGATAGGATCTCTGCGAGTTCAAGGCCACACTGGGAACAGAGCCAGGTGTGGTGGCACACACCTTTAATCCCAGCACTTGAGATCTCATGCCTTTGCTACCAAGTATTTGGGAGGCACATATGCCTTTAATCCCAGCACTAGGAAGGAAGGAAGAGGGCAGGACACAGAAAGGTATGTAAGGCATGAGTAAACAGGAAGTCTTGCTCTTGAAACTGAGGATTCTGTAGAGGTAAGAACTTGTGGCTGGCTTGCTCTGCTTCTCTGATCTTTCAGCTTTCACCCCAATGTCTGGCTCTGGATTTTCTATTTATAAGACTGTAGTGGTATTTGCTCCACCTATGACCTTGGGCTATATGGCTCAAAGGAGGTGGTGCCTCCTGCTGTTGTACATGACCTCTTGGGTGGAGCAAATGCCACTACATAAGATCTTTTAGCAATTTGTGTCACACAGCACCCATCCCATCATGTGTTCTAGTAAGAAACCGGGGCCTTCTTGACACCCTGGGAGCCCTCTCCATGCCACTGTCCCTACCATGCTGAAGGCATGTCTCCAATTCTACCCTTACCTCCTCCAGCAGAGCATCTCAGAAATACAATCTGAAGGTAACCTTGTCCCCACTAGATCCTTCCCATTACCAGCAATCCTTCTGCCATAGCCTCCCTGGGACTCCTCTTAGGAGACTTTATAGATGTAAAATGTACTCGTATGTGAACCCAGGCTGGAGTGATTGACTGATTTTTAAGTTTCTTTTCAGGTGTCACTATGATGCGAAGACTGCTCTCTAATCCGAGTTAAGTGAGCCTCCTCCTGCCTCCTCAGTCTCCCATGTACTGGGACGATTGGCATGGGCCACTATGCTCAGTCTCAATATATTTTCTGTTTCCTTTTCTTTTAAGACAAGCTCAGGCTATGTAATCCAAGTTGGTCAGGAATTCCCCATGAACCCAGGCTGGCCTCAAACTTGTAATCTCCCTGCCTCAGATTCTCAAGTGCTAGGATTACATACATGCCACTATAGCCAGTTCTCTTGATGGATATTTCACATGAAAGAAATATAAATTGTAATCACCAAATAAAGGAGACTAGACATCTCTTGAAACTAAAATAAACCTCCAGTGTCAGGAATGGTTTACATCTAATTGAGTTGTTGGCCAAAGAGGCCCCATGAGAACCCCAAACAATTCAGGCTGTTGCTCAGGCCATTGATTGCACTCCACAAACTGACAGCAAGGCCCTATTGCTGAACACAACACCTACATAACTCAGTGAACATGGAAAAGTAAGCTGATACCTACCCAGAGCCTTGATCCCTACTGACTTAGTGTTCACGGTACTGGAAGGTACTCTGCACACTACAAGAGGAGAGACATAAACATCAACCCGCCTACAAACCTTGCAGTCTACAATGGCAGCCTGCATGCAAGACACACTGGCACAATGGCAGTACCAAAGCTGTAGATATGAGTGGAATAAGACTCACTCCGTGAATGGAACCCATCCCTGACACTGCCTAGGTGGCCAAGAACCTGAAACTGGATAGGCCAGGTACTAGGGAAAAACCAAATACTACTGTTCTGCTAAAGGAATGTAGCAATAAAATAAAAATAAATAAATAAATAAATAAACCTCCTAACAACATTCTGCTACATCCCTAGGTCAGGGTCTTGATCAGCCCTCATCACAAGAAGCTTCCTTCTGCAGTATATGGGAACAAACACAGAGACTCATAACTGCACAATGTGCAAAGAGTAAGAGACTTTGGAACACTCAGTCCTAAATGGGATGTCTCCATCAAATCTCTCCCCTCAGGGCTCAGGGAAGCCTGTGGAAGAGGAGGCAGAAAAATTGGAAGAACCAGTGGAGATGGAGGACACCAAGGAAACAAGGCCTTTAGGGCACAAGGGGACTGAAGCACTTATGAACTCACAGAGACTGTGTCAGCCTACGCTTGTCGGCACAGGTCTAAGCCAGGTGAGGTTCTAGTGCTGAAAGGGGAAGCAGACACAAATCCACACCCCTAAGCTATCTCCAGTTGATAACCACTCTCAAAGGAGTCGTACTGGGAACGCAAACCACACGGAAGGCCAGGCTCCACGCCCAGCAGCAGACAGTCAACACAAAACAAACTCAGTGGCATGTGTGGAGTTCTGTGTCTCACAACGCTTTGTCTAGACTTTTTTTTAACCTTACGATCTTTTGCTTATACATTGTCTTACGGATTCTCCGGATGTGTGAACGTGTCCCAGCACGCTTGCTTCTGGAGCTTTCTCTTTGGCTTTTTCCAAAAGAAAAAGTTTGTTTTGTTCTATTCTGGTTTGTTTTATCTTATTCATTGTTGTTGCTATTATTATCATTATCATTATCATTATTATTATTATTGCCTGTTTGTATTCTAATGAGAGAGAAAAAACAAGGGGTGTGGATTTGGGTGAATCTGGAAGTGGGTGAGATCTGGGAGGAGCTGGGGGAGGGGAAATTGTAATCTGAATAGATTGTACAAAAAAAAATCTATTTTCAATAAAAATAAAAACTCCAAGGCCCTGGCATACACATACACACACACACACACACACACACACACACACACACACACACACACACTCACACACACACACACTATATATATATATATTCCAAGAACAAAATATAGGAGACTAAACAATTGGGGTTAAGAGAGAACTCTGCCAAATGAAATATTCTATAAATACTGATACTTTCAAATAAAGGAACAAAGGCAAAGAACTATTTCAAAGTATTAACAATGGGCCAGCAAGATGGCTCAGCCAGTAGAGGCACTTGCTACCAAGGCTGATGAGCTAAATTCTATTCCTGGATCCTACGTGGTGAAAGGAAAGAACTAAGTCTCACAAGTTGTCCTCTGAACACCACATGAGCACCACAGCATATACGCTTGTGCATACACATGCGCGCGCGCACACGCACACACACACACACACACATAAATAAATAAATAAATACTAAAAAACTTTTAGACAAAGTAATATCAATGACAATTCACATCAGCAGGCTTCTTCCACATGTGGTTGGAAGGATGCTTGGGGACTGGTGTGACTCAGTGCAGAGAGCTAAGGGTCTGACAACAACATAGATTCCATGACTCGTGTCTCGTATGTCCTGTCCTCTTTGAGGAACTAGAGGGAGTAAGCTGTAGTTCATTCAAACATATGTTGAATCTGTAAGGCACTCACAGAAAATGTTTCTGCCTGAATAATAGTGATGGGGACTACTACACTACTCTCCTATCCACTGTGCTTTTTGAGACTAAATATAACACAACTGCACTGTAAAGAGATTTTCACAGTATTGCTTAACTGAACACTAAGAGTGAAGCTGATGTAAAGTAGAACAGGATGGCCATGATGTGTCAATCATTGCAGGGGCACTTGGATGGAGGCGTTGGAAGCAAAGGTGCACGTGGGGGTCAGAGGGCATATAGGAGCTCTGTGTTCTATTTGGCTGCAAACTAAAACTACCTTTAAAAAGTAGTTTTGACTCTACAGTATATAAGTGTAGTATTTAATTTAAACTTAAACTTGTGGTTTAAGAAAGACCAGAGATGAGGGTGATGGGCCTTGTACTCACCTGTCTGGAGAGATGGGCTGCTGAGCCACAGGACCCAGGTCATTCTCAAGAAGGTCCCAGACATAGATCCTGGATGCATCGTCCTGGACCAAGAACACAGCAGGCCTTGTTGGGGACCACTGCAGGCTAGTAACAGAGCGGCCCTTGGTACTGCTGTCCCACTGCATGACAGGCCTCTCAGACGTCAGGTGGTGCAGTCTGATGCTTCCATCTGAACAGCCAGCCTACAATTGGAGTATGGAAACACTGTTTTTCTTTCTTTCTTGCTGTGGGATGGTCTGTATGTCAAATGTGTTGCTGATTGGTCAATAAATAAATCACTGATTGGCCAGTGGCCAGGCAGGAAGTATAGGCGGGACTAACAGAGAGGAGAATTGAGAGAACAGGAAGCTGGGTGAGGGAGACACTGCCAGCCGCCATCAGGACAAGGAAGATGTAAAGTACCGGTAAGCCACAAGCCACGTGGCAAGGTATAGATTAATAGAAATGGATTAATTTAAGCTGTAAGAACAGTTAGCAAAAAGCCTGCCACGGCCATACAGTTTGTAACCAATATAAGTCTCTGTGTTTACTTGGTCGGGTCTGAGTGGCTGTGGGACTGGCGGGTGACAGAGATTTGTCCTGACTGTGGGCCAGGCAGGAAAACTCTAGCTACACTTTACACTTTCTGAATTAAATCTCAATACCCAGAAATTTTTCTTGGAGCGTTCATTAGCTTGCCTTGCTTGTAAAATAACATTTTCACTTGCTTTTGTTTTCTGAATATAAAGACATTAAACCTATCCTTACAAACAGTGAGTGAGCACTCACCCTGGAAACTGACACCAGCCACCACTGCATTCACTAAAAACATAAATGAGTGTGTGTTGAGTGCCACCAACTCAGCGCAGGATGCTAGGGCAGGCTCCACAGGTGGAATGTCCCCTTTTAAACAGTTATATTTGTACTGACAGTATGGTTATGTGTTCCTTTTAGATTGAAATTTTCATAAAACAAAACTCAGCTGGTTTAGGGAAAGACCAAATTATTAGCCTATAAAGAGAAGATTAATTCTTCCTTACTCTTTAATCCTTTCCCATACTCAAAAAAAGATGTTCTTATATAAAATTCTAAAATAATAAATTATATATTTTGATAGAATATCAACAAGAGAAATCAAATTCTAAAATAAAACACAAACAGAAACACATTTAAACCCTAATTTTAGATAAGTAACACAATCGTATGGGATATAGGGGCAAGAACTAAGCCAAATAACCTCTCAGCACAATGTCTGGGTATACAACTTCTGACTCAGATACAAAGAGTCTTGAGTATTGAAAACTGGCTTCTCTGGATGAGATATTAAAAGCTCTGTGTATTCTGGGATTGCACACTTAACCAGGCAGATGGTAAACCATTGCTATGGTCTGAACGAAGTCTGCCCCCACTGACTGTTGTGCTAGAGACTCAAGTCCTCAGAATAACAGTGTTGAGAGGCAGTGTGACATTTAAGGGATGGAATCCAGCAGGAAGTAATTAAGTGAGGAGCTTGTGACCTTAGAAGGAATTGATGACTGTTTTGTAGGCGAGGATTAACTCTCAGAACTGGATTACTTCCGCTGGTTGACCATAGGCAGCTTCCTGTTAAATTCTAAGTACTTTGCAACTGAACAAAGTATTTCTTGAGAGAGTTAATCTCTCTCAAGAATTTCTGAATTCTTTCTGAATCAATTTGATTCAGTTTTCTGTTAATAATAGTCCATGTCTCCTTTTTAGATCACTGAAGCCCAATAAATAATAAATCTGTAGACTACTAAGAGACCAAAACTTTCTAAATTTTCTACTGGATTGCAATGTTATGATGCCCCAACAGGCAAATAGTATCAATGAAAAGTGACTTTCTTACCAAGAATACTGTTTCTTCAAATGGTGAAAATTCGATCACGTTAACTCTTATTGGTCTGACACCATGTTGATGAGGTTTGAACACCTTAGGAGATATTTTCCAATCTTGTCTGGTACTGTGGCTTATAAGTCCCTGATTATTACAAAAATGCCAAGAATGGCCAAAGAAAAGTATTAGATACAAGACTGGACAAACCATATTGATGAAACAATTCAGACATTATAACAAAGGCAATCAGTAAGTTAATTTGATATAAAGATATTTATCAGGTAAGGCTGGGTGGAAAGGATGAAATGTAAAACACTACTAACCATGTCGGTGCCAACAACAAAGTGATTCGGATCTGAAGGCAGAAATTTGACACTTAGTGTTTGTGTGGATCCCCAGAATTCACTATCTTTATGGGAAAGACTGAAAAATAAAGAGCAGAGATGAGCACATGGCTTCTGCAAACCTGGATGATGACAAGACCTTACACTCACCTAGCACTGCCATGTATCTCCAATGAGGAGCAGGTATATCACACTCCTTCCATGACTTCAGCTACTCTGCTTCCTATTTCTTTTTCAAGTATCGCATGCTTGATCATTTCTGCAGATCCATCATTCTGTTTACTGATTCTTTTATCGACTATGTTGACTCTACTATTTAACTACCAGCTGGTTGAAATTTTGGAAATTACAGCATTGTTTCTAAAAGTGTATTGTACAACTGCCAGCAGGTCTGATGCTGAGAGAGAGGGTGAGTTAGTAGTTGATTCTGACGAATTCCACTGTGATGACAGTTCCTAGTGTGCTGATTAATCCTATGTGTGCACCAAGGTGCACTGTTTTCTCACGCTTCTGGTTCCTATAAAGTTTGTGAACTCATCTTTTGCAGAAGGCCTGTGGAAATTCCCTAAGTCCCAGCTTCCCACAAGGCAGTTGTCCTTATATCTCAAGGCCCCTGGGACTCTTATGTTCACATCCCAGCTTGCAGGTACCCATACACTCTAACTTGAGGTCCATTTTCCCTTACCTAGGGGTGAAACTTTCTAAATTTCCCTCACACTAAAGGGGCAGTGAGTTCCAGAGCTCTGTACGGGGTCTCAATTCTCGGTCTCTTATCTCGGGCAACCCAGTGCACCTATGATTGCACAAGGCTTGAGCCACAGGTTGAAGGCCTAATAACCTGGCCTCCTGGTTGTCACCACTAACTCAAAACCTTATTATCTAACTTAACTTCTTTCTTTATTCCTAGCATTAAGAGATTTTTCTTTTCTTAAAAAACAAAACAAACAAACAAAAACAATTACATTTGGAGCTGGAAAAATAGCTCAGCAATTAAGAGCATTTGCTGCTCTTAAATTGGATTCTGTTCCCAAAACTCATATAGCAGCTTACAGCTGTCGGTAACTCCAGTTCCAGGAGATCTGGTGCTCTCTTCTAGCCTATGCTGGCACCAGATATACATGTGGTGCACCTACATATTGGCAGGCAAAACACTCATACATATGATAGACAAATAACCCTTCTTCTTCTCATCTGTACTACCCAGTAATCAAACTGTAGTAGAAGGCGGGGCCAACTGAAGCTCCTCCCTCCCACTGCTTCTATCAACTGACCACCAGATTTCCACTTCTACTCTTTAACTCACACCTAGTTCTCCACACCCAGGTTGTTTTCCATACAGGCCACTACACTGGCCTCCTAACTGGTGTCCTTCACTCCAATGTCCAGAACCTTCTGTACTGCAAACTCACATTTTTCCAAGTTGTTTATCCTACATCTCAAAAATGACATTCCACTTCTTCAGAATAAGACCCTGTCACCTCCAAGACACTGTCTAGACTGTCAGCACAGAAGCAGGCATGTCAAGGCCAACCACCAACTCATCCCATTGTTTTCAACAGCAGACTTGCTGGTATTTCTAAGTATAGATATCTTTTGCCTTAGAGCCATGACATGTTCCTTTACCAAACTTTCAAGGATCAGTTCAGTATGACGTCTTAGTCAGTGTTCTATTGCTGTGAGGAAAAACCATTACCAAGGCAACTCTTGTAAAAGAAAGCATTTAATTGGAGGCTGACAGTTTTAAAGGGTTAGTGCATGGTCATGGCAGGAAGCAGACAGGCCTGATACTGGAACGGTAGCTGAGATCTTTACATCCTGATTCACAGAGAGCAGGCAGAGAGGGAGACACTGGGCCTGGCATGGGCTTTTGTAATCTCAGAGTCCATCCCCAGTGATGCACTTCTTTCAACAAGGCCACATCTCCTAATCCTTCTTAAACAGTTCTGTTCCCTGGTAGCCAAGCATTCAAGTATATGAGCCTATAGGGACCATTCTTACGCAAAGAACCACATATCACTTTCCCAAAAAGCTCCCATCTCACTCTGGATCCAACCCTTCTCTCCTTCAGGCTCTTACATGCCTATGTTCATTCTAACAGCACACCATACTCTTATAACCATGTCAACAGGAATGTTCTATTTCACTGGCATGCTCGCTGGGATCACTGAGGGCAAGATGGCTACTACATCCAGAGTGACATTTTCCCAGGACATTCACAGCCCACAGGTGGCAGAAAGGGACAAAGACCTGGTGTGTCAGTCTGGCCACCCACCCCAGTTTACCCAAGGTAGGAGAGGCTACAGAGTTGGGGATTTTTTTAAATCCACTCTGTCTCTACCCCTTCTTTCCCACAGATCTTGCAGAAACACAGCTATGAGTTTTGAAAGGAAATATGGCAACAAATACATTAGCTATTTCCCTTAGAGAAGTGCACAGTTTAATCCTGGAGGAAATTATAGTTAAAAATAAATACAACGCATGGTGTGAAGTGAGAGAGTCTCGAGCAGAGAGAAGAGTCTCACAGTAGCTCAGCAGAGGTATGCAGCACATGAAGTCAGGGAACAGCCTGAGAGCATGTGCATGCCTAGCTTTGTAACACTCTGATGACTTTAACTGATCTGCTTTCGTAACTCTTTCAGTCAGGTAAGTTGATTTGAAATCTCTAAGCATGACTGTATTCACTGTATTCTGTGTGATGAAGAGGACACGGGCTCAAAGATTTTTCAAGGGTAATTCACATACTAACAGTTAGCCTCACTGAGTAAATGACAGAAATATGTATGGCTTTGGGAACCAATAAGGAATATGTAAATACTACTAATACTGGAACATTCACTAAGAATCTGTACTTCATATTAAATTCTATAAGTAAAAGCAGAAATACACTTTTTTATTTGTTTGTTGTTTTGTGGTATTTCTGTTTGCTTATTTGTTTATTTGAGACAGGTTCTCACATATCCCAGGCTAATTGAAAACTCACTGTATAGTCAAGAATAGCCTTGAACTCTTAATCCTCCTGCTTCTACCTACCAAATGCTAGGATTACAGATGTGTGCTATGCCCAGCTGGAAATAAAAATTTATTAATAAAATTTACTTCAATATTTACAGTTCCTAAAACTTGATTTGATCAAGTTTAACTAACTTTAAGTCTAAATTAAAATTGGATGAAAAACAGTCAAACAGTATTTATTTATAAGCTAAGAAACATTGTATGAATGCATATTAGCATTATATCTGAAAAATATACTTGTTACATTGTCTTATTATTGATAATTCACACAGCAAAAACTGAATGTGAGAAAATGTATCCTCATTGCAAAAACAGAACATGAATTTAATAGGAAGCAGTCTTTCTGGGATGAGGGGCGTGTTCAATCCCCAGTGGAAGTCTCACCTGTTGCCCAACTGGATCATAGTGCTGTGCACCAATTTGATCCTCCCTCCAGGAATCAGACCTGAATCAGACAAACCAGAAACACGAACACTTCTTAATGGAAGCTAAATCAAAACCCACCTACAGTTGTCAGATTCACTTCCTTATCTAAGTATTTATAACCAGAAGGAATGCCAAAATATAAATGCAGGCAGGACTCCCTCTAAATCTGGTGGAGGTGCCTGTGCCTTGCTGAAGAGAGTCAAGAATCTGCAGGTCATTATCAGAATACCACAGGGCCATGATCTAGATACCCACACATTTTCAGACTGATGAGAACAATGGGCATCATATGTATTGAATACTTAGTTCAAAATGCCGAATCCTGTGCTGTAAATACCCAAGGCGCCTGTCATTCAAAGCCATCATTGGAAACGCCGAGGTTTCCAGTGTGTTGAATGGCCACTAGTGTCCTGAATTCCTCCTCTAATCTGATCAGCTCCTCTAACTTCCACTCAAACACCACAGAACTGTGACTTCCAGAGGCCCTGGCTTTATTTTCTATTCCCTCCTTGTTCTCCTTAGATATGCACCCTTCAGTTGTCTCAGCCAAATGTCTGTCTTAAAGCTATTCTCCCTTTTGTACATTCCTGCAGAGGGAAGAATTAGAGATTTATATACAGTGAAACAAAGTTCTAGGCAAGGTGCTCTCCAGAACGTTGAGCGCAGCTGAACTAAAAGCCTGCAGAAATATATTCAACTCACTGCTAGGAAGGGTAATTGCAAGTGCATTGCATGACTTGTCTCTTGTATCCACTGTACAACAATATTGATGCCATCACAGAGGTGGCAGATCTACACATCAGGCCTGCTGCCAGTGGTCTCAACCACAACCACAGTTTGAACAGCACTTCAACAAGATGGGATCAACACTTGACTGGTGATGCGCCTGCTTCTGAATTTGAGAACCTGGAGCAAGGCCAGTGTCAATCCTGGATTTTTTTCCTTATTTTTTTTTCTCAGATCTATCTGGGATACACTCTTGAAACAGGTAAGATGAGAGGAGACTTTGTCATTATAAAATTAGCAGCTGGAATTCAGGGTAAGATAGCTGAGTTTAAAATGCAGACAAATCAGACCACAGGATTCAACAGAACTGAATTGTCTGGGGCCTCTTAGAACTGAAAGCTATACCAAGTGGCATTGAAAACAGCAAACCACGGGGACCCTAGTGTGTTTCCCCATCTCTCCTGCTCTATATGGGGCATTTCCAAGTAGCCTGAGGAGAGCCACACTTAGTGACCTCATGTGCATACAATTCCATACCCCTTCATAGAACAGAGGGTCTTACTGGGTAAATCCAAAAACCACAGAAGAAAGCCCCAAACTAGGAGGACTTAGGACGTGGACACCTGAAGTGTACTGAAAAAGAAGACAGTCACTTAAGTTATGTCACGAGGCAGAATGAAGGCCAGCTATGAGCAGAACTCAGGACACCTCCAGAAGGAAACACCCATTAGACATCACTCAATCACTCTAGCTAATGAGATGTCCATACAACCTTGATATCCATTTTTCAGGTTGCTAATTACTTGTTTTTCAAAGCAGGTTGTGATATCTTTAATCTCTATTAATTTTAGCAAACAATAATTAATTAATTTTTACTTCAATAGTTACCTAAATCACTCATTGAACCTGAGATATCTGCCTTTGGTAATTCAACAACCACCTAAAAACAGAATATTGAAAAAATGAATACCGATACATTTTGTAACTATGAAACAATCTAAACAAAGAATAACTCTAATAAAATAACATGCTACACTAGATCCTAAAAATATAATTGCTTCATAAAAATACTAATCATTTGCTTCAGAACTGACTCAAATTTTTTTTTTTTTTTTTTTTGGTTTTATGAGACAGGGTTTCTCTGTGTAGCTTTGCGCCTTTCCTGGAACTCGCTTTGGAGACCAGGCTGGCCTCGAACTCACAAAGATCCGCCTGGCTCTGCCTCCCGAGTGCTGGGATTAAAGGCGTGCGCCACCACCGCCCGGCTCAAATTTATTCATTATTTTATCTTACTATTCTCCTCTCTCAGTAACCTCATTAGTAGCTCCCTATAAAAGTCCTAACACATCCTTTCACACTGATGCCTTGCCATGCATTCCCAAAGGCCAAAGGCCAGGCATACAATTCCATACCCCTTCACAGAACAGAAGGTCTTACTGTTGTGTTCTGTTCTATCCCTGACCCATTCCCCAGCCAGGTGCCGATCTGCTCCCGGATGGTCTCACTCAGCTCTAAGTGGCCCCGCACTTCCTACTTACCCACACATTGAGAACACCGCTCTCGTCCAGGGAAGCGATGTGAAAGGATAAGCCTGTCATCTCTAATGAAAGCAGAAACAGAAATGAAGGAAAGCAGTTTTAAATAAGCATAACACTCCACACAGCTATTGCTTGAATGATTTTGTGAGCGTGAGGCTCTCGTACCTTCTTGAGTAGAAAAGGGTGAAAGCACCAAGCTCTGCTTTTTGTAGGCAGATGTGGCCACCGGCTCTATAGCGTGAAGAGGACTTCGGTGGTTCACTGATGTGAGGACTCCATCTAGAGATTAAAGGCCCATAGTACCCACTGTGAGTCATACAGCTGAGCAATGAAATTAGCATTATATGTTAAGAAATATGCAGAAGCTTCTGGGTCTAAAGACCTGAATCTCTCCATAAACCTCTCTCCTAAAGCCACATGTCAAGGTCCATGATCTTGATTTTCAGCATCTCTAGCAAATAGAGACTACAACCTCAAAACACTTATAAGAGGAGAAACAAGAAATGAAGACCAAAGCTTGTGCCATTATTAGGGTGTCTCATCACTGAGGCAATAGATGTACAGGGCTAGGAAGGAGGTCAACAAACTCCAAGACCAAGAGTGTTATAAGATGAGGAACTCAAGCAAGCACTCCAGAAGGAGAAGACATGATTCTGAGGTCAGAAACCTCCAGAACAGGCTGGGGAAAGAGGGGCATACAAGAGGGCCTTAGGGAAGTGCTGTTTATGGGCAAGTTATAAGGGCAGAGAACAGCACAGACTGGGAACACAGCAGTGCCGGCCAGAGCACAGGACCAAGTCGTCTGAAACAAGCACACAGCCACTACCAGGAGAAGTGCTGCCACCCACACATGAAGAGAACAGTTGCCTACAGAATGTCTGGGAGTCAGAAATTCAAATTCCATGTGCAGATACTGCAGGAAGAATTATCAGGTGTGACTATTCTCCTGCCCTACCCTGTCCCAGAAGAAAACACAAAGCAGAAGACAAGCAGTCTGAGATGAATGAGGTCTTTGCAGACCGCTTTGGGAAACGCACTTAAAGCCACAAACAAATCCACCCAAAGTCAAAACCCCACACAGAAACAGAAAAAAAAAGGATGAGTGTTGGACTGAACTCAAGAAAAAGCTAATGAACAATACAATGAAGAGCTATTACAGGCCTCCCAAGGGGGAAATTCACATGAGACGTGAAGGATCCACATGTGACAACAGCCAGTTCTCCTTTAGAAGCGCCACAGTTTCACACTCCTGAGTTCTGCGGATGACAGTTACATGGCAAAAGGAAAGCAAGGAAGCCCTTTCATAGAGTAGTTTATTAGTCATCCCTCTGTATTCATCTGAGGATTCAACAACCATGACTGGAAATATGTGGAAGAATCATTGTCCTGTACTCAACATATGCAGACTTTTCTTGTCATTGTTCCCTCAACACTGGGGCACAACAGCTACTCACACATCATATACACAGTCATCTAGAGATGACATCAAGTACAAGGAGAACGTGCCTGAGTTATAGCAAATGCTGTATCATTTATATGAGGAGGCATCTGAAGGGAGGGAGGTCAGACCAGTGTCCTGCCAATACATATGTCCTGCATAGCTTAGGAATTTAGTGCTTTGAAAACAATGCTGGGGGCTGGAGAGATGGCTCAGAGGTTAAGAGCACTGGCTGCTCTTCCAGAGGTCCTGAGTTCAATTCCCAGCACCCACATGGTGGCTCACAACCATCTGGAACGAGATCTGGTGCCCTCTTCTGGCCTGTAGACATATATGCAGGCAGAACACTGTATACATAATAAATAAATAAATCTTAAAAAAAAAAAAAGAAAACAATGCTGGATTCAAATGTTTATTATATAAGCAGTTAGAAAATGTCATGTTTTAAAAGGTATCTTCTAGATTGTGTGATAGTTAGTTTTAATTGTCAGCTTAACACAATCTAGAATCACGTGAGTCTCAGTGAGGATGATCGAGGTCAAGCTGGCCTGTGGGTATCCCTGTGAGTAGGCACCATTCCCTGGGCTGAGCACTAAACTTAGAAAAGGAGAGATTAAGCTGAGCTGTGGCATGTGGCATCCCGTTGCTCTCTGCTTCTGACTGGGGACACAATGTGACCAACTCCCACCACTGCAACTTCCCTGCTGTGATGGGACATAACCTGGATTGTGAGTCGACTAAACACCTTTGCCTTTAAGGTGCTTTTCTTAGGGTAGTTTATTATAGCATCAGGAAAGAAAACTTAGAGTCTGAGTCATATAATAAATTTTTTATGTTCTTTTCTGTTTGAAAAAAAAGATACTTTTTATAATAGCATCAAAATCCATATGGTACCTATCATTGCAAACACTCTCCATAGCAACAGGATCTCCCGAAAAGGGCAAAAATTGGTTAGTAGAGAAATAAAATGGCTTGCTCTTTTTACATGTAACGCACAGATAAAAACACAGTACACAGAGAGGAGACATTATCTGTGATGTTAAGAGTGCTTGGAGAAGGACAAAAATAAACCAATGGAAAAGAATGAAGAGAATCACAGAATAGGAGAAAATATTTGCAAAATCCTCCTCTCATAAGTGTTTTATCAAAATATATAAAATTCAACTACCAGAAAACAAACAATTTTAAAATAGGGAAAGACCTTAACTGGTACTTTACCAAAAAAACACACAGATGGCATATGAGCATAAGGGAAGACAGGACTGCTCCACGTGTCACAAGGGAAATGTGACCATGCAGAAAGACCCAAACCTATAGCAATGGTCATGCTGCGTGCTGGTGAGGGTGTGGAGCAGCAGCAGGCCTCACTGCCCGCCTGTGGGAATGCAGATGGCAAGTTCTCACTACGCAGCCCGGGAATCGAGTTCTTTAGTTGGCAAACTGTCTGACAAGAGCAACATCAGAACAGGTTAACTCCCGCACACACTCCAGGACACAGCCATGGCGCCTGGGAAGCATGGTGGCAGGGCCTTGGATGGTTGGAGCATTACATCTGCAGTCAGGGAGCAGAGAGAGATCCATGTTCAACTGCTCGCTTTCTCTCATACATGCAGCCTGTACCCCATCCCATGGAATGGTTCCACCTCCAGTTCAGTCTTCTCATCTCAACGAACTAGATAATCTCTCATAGACATGCCCGGAGGCTAACTTAATCTAGATAATCCCTTTTTAATATGCCTAGAGGATTATCTTCCAGCCATTATACTTGGTATTTACCCAGAGTAGGTGAAAACAAGTTCACACAAAGACCTATATACAAATAGTTGTAAAATTATCCCTTCAATAAGTAAATTGACAAATTTATCCATAACATTTGTTTTTTTATATATATGTTTTATTTTAAGAATATAAAGGAAAAAATTATTTGGTTGTTAAGCCACTAAAAAACATGATAGAAACTTACACACTTACCCTTACCCAATCTGAAAATGTTTATTCCACTTTATTTCAAATATAGAACTTTCTGGAAAAGGTACAAACTACAGAGACAATGAAAAGTTCAGTGATGGCCAGGAGCAGGAAGGATGTAGGTCCTTGCTTAAGACACATCATAATCAAATTGATGAGAGCCACATGTACAAAAAAGCTTTGAACACAGTGAAAATGGCCATCAAGAATGAGAATTTCAGTGGGACATTCATATACACAAATAATAATAATAAACCTGTAGACTAATACCTCCCCCATCATGCAGACCAGACTTAAATGTAAAACCAAAAATTACAAAAGTTCAGGAAAACATGGGCAACAGCCCAACCCCTGTGACTTTCTGTTGAGTGAAACCTGTTCATCACAACATCAAAAGCATGGTCATGAGAGAAGATATTAATAATCAAATTCCACCGAATTTAAAATGTTCTGTCTTTGAGGGACAATTTTACAAAAAGGAATGTGGAGTATGACTAAAAACAGGGAAAACATGTCCAGACTGTATAAAACTTCAAAACTTAATAGGTGGGGATAGAGCTCAATCTGTAAAGTGCTGGCCCAGCAAATGTCAGGTCCTGGGTCCGGTCTCTAGCATCACAGCAATAACATAAAATAAACTTGGCCAGGCATGAATCACGCTGCAATCTCAGCACCCAAGAGGCTGAGGTAAGAGGATTGCTGCAAACTTGAGACAGCCAGGACTCCATAACAAGACCTTCTCTCCAAAAACAAACAAACTTAAGAAAACAATCCAATAAAAAAAAATGAGCAAAGATTTGAATAGGCATAATCAACAAAAATATTTAGTTGATAAAAAAGCACATGGAGATAAATTTAGGATCATTAGTTATTCCAGTGAAAGTCAAAACCCACAAAATTAAAACTGCATGCTTACTAAATAGCCAGCTAAACACCACCACCCAACGATAGGACCAGTGCTGGTGAGGTACAGAGCAATAGTTGGCACACTGCAACAGAGCTCCAGGGAGCTGAGGGAGTGCACTCTACAACTCTGCAGTGAAGAACCCCAAATGACATGTGAGAGTCTGGCCCTCCGGCATCTGGACAAAGAGACTGGGGACAGAATAATCACAGAAAACAGATTGACGGCCTGCGGGGAAAGACAGAACACCAAGTGCTCGAGTGGTGTCCTGTGCTCCTTAGACTGAACAGGAAAGGGACAAGACTGGAGAAGAGTGAGAATGAGAAGGTCTATGCCTGCTCTTTCAGCCAATGGGATATCAGCTCCTATGGGAAGAGGCCAATAAACAAAGGCCACAGTGCCAAAGCCTAAGCCAGATGGCTCTGAGTTCAGGTTCTGCCTGTGCAGTCAGTGTGGCACAGACGAACATTTCACCCTTCTAAGCAACAGGGATGGAGGGCTAGTACAAGAACCAAATGAGCCCATGTACATAAAACACTTAGAAGTCCTATAGGTGAGAAATGCTTGCTCTTTGTATATGTATGTGTTTGTGTGTGTACATGTGTGAGTGGGTACACGTGTAGGCATGTACATGTGGAGACCAGGGGCTACATCAGGTGTCTTCCTTGATAATTCTTCATGCTATTTTTTTTTTTGAGACAGGGTCTCTCAATGGGCCTAGAGCAGTGATTCTCACCCTTCCCAATGTTGTGAACATTTAATACAGTTCCTCATGTATGGTAACCCCCAATTATAAAATTATTTTCACTGCTACTTCATAACTGTAATTTTTCTACAGTTATAAATCATAATGTAAACAGGATATCTGATATGCAACCCATGAAAGGGTTGTTTGGACCCCAAAGGGGTTGCGACAAACAGGTTGAGAATCACTGGCCTAGAGCTAGCTAGCCAGTGAGTCCTTCTAACTCCCCAGTGAGATCACAGATGTGTACCAATACACCCAGCTAAAAGGGGTGTGGGTGCTGGGGATCTGAACTCAGGTCTCACATTGCACAACTAGTACTTTACCCACTGAGTTATCTTCCTAGCCCCCAGAAATGGTTTTTGTTATTATTGCTATGGTGACTGTAGTCTAAAACAGTATGAACTGTTCATGTAGGTAAAATGAAGGATCTGCCCCCAAGAGGTAACTCTTTACTTCACCGCTTCAAGCTCTCCCTAGCGATGGCACAGGAGTGTGCATATACTACTGTACCTTGGCTACCTAGGACACTGAAGTTAGGAGTGGGGTGCAGCTCAGTGTACAGCACCTACCTAGGCCTTGAGTTTGGTCCTCGAAACCATGATCAATCAACTAATCAATCTAAAATTTATTTTGCTGGGGATTTTTTAGAATACACACATTTAACATGAAAGAATACCCCAAACTTTGCTGGCCATGCAATGAGGACTGCTTGAATGGATTTGGTTTTCTCTGTTTATCAAATTCCTCTTTTGTCCAGAGTCAAACCTCATCCTCTGGAAAATCTGAATCAATAAAAGCAGATGAAGTTAAAACCTTAGTCCTCAAAGTTGCCCAGGCTTTTCTAGAGAACAGACAACACTAACCTGTGGAAAACGTTGGGGTCCTGAAGGCCCAGAGACAATTGCTTAGTCTCACGTAATGGTGTATCCTGGAGTCTTCTCTTAAGTCCCAAAGGACCACAGAGCCATGTACTGTTCCCGCAAACAGCAAAAATGCTTTTAAAGGGCTAAAGCAGCAACATGTGACCTGAAAAGTAAATCACAGGAAGTTACTGGCTAAAAATTATGATAGCTGCATTCACAGACATTACTCCACTAAGTATGGTATCTGACACAGATTAAGATCCTCACAGGATATGGTTAAGTACAACACAGACCTGTGCATATAAAATAAAATTCACTTGGCCAAGTGTGAGTGTTTTCACATGGACAGTAGAGTAAGAAATCCACTCTGTAGGAATATGATCACAAGCGAAGCATCTAGTAGACATCTGGATACACAAAATGTGCTTAATGATTCTTTCCATTCATTGCAACCGTCTGGACCGCAAACCTGGGAAGTCCACTGTTTGACAGTTTATTCATGGCTTTTACTGCAAACTTCCAAGACTCTAAAATGGCACTGGAAAAGGTGTTCTTCACATATTGTTGGTTTGGCTGAGTCAAGGAACATAAAGACATAGTACTTCCCAATCAAAAATGATGTATATATGAAAGGGAAGATGGCCGTGGACCTGCGAGTGACAGGACCAGAGTCACATAAGGCAGAAGAATCTGAGTGACAAAGACGCTTATTACAAGCAACAGTAAGAAACTGCACAATGATGGCGGGGCACGTCTATAATGCTGCACTCAAGAGGTAGAGACAGGAGATCAGAAGTTCAAAGTCATCTTCAGCTGCATGGAGAATTCAAGGCCAGCCTGGGTTACTACATGCTTCCTGTCAGGGGGAAAAAAAGGAAGAAAGAAAAGAAAAAGAAACACAAAGAAAGCACAAGACTATTAAGATATCTAGAGAATCAGAACCTAAAAAGCATGACCCAAATACCCAGCCCTGTGGCCATCCTGGCCATGTTTTTATTAAGCCTGTAACTATGTTCATTTGTTAGTTTACAGGTGACAGAGAGCCTCCTGCACGATAATCCTGAGTTTCTCAGTCGGAAATGTCCTGTTAAACTGTGAACTTCTAGAGTCGGAACAGAGCCAAGGGCACCAGACACAGGACACGACTTGGGCCCCCATTCTGCCTGTTACCTCTGCACCCTGTCCTTGTGATGTTTACTGTCAGCCACCACCCTCCTGGAAACAAGCACAGACTCCTCCTGAGTATACCTTTGACTCACATATCAGGACCTTCTGGGGCCCTGAAGGCTGCCAAATATCCCACACACAGAGGAGGTGCCGGCTATCCAGAGACGGGGCAAATGCCTTGTCAGGTAAGTCATGAACAGAGACGACGGTCTGCCTCTGAACTCGAGAGGCATGCAAACAGGATACTTTCCGCCCTGAAGATAAGAAAAGCATTTTCACTTTAGCATTTCAAACATTTCAAAATTCTCACATAAAATATAATTCAGTGAAGAAACAAACACGGTCTGTTCACAGCTGAACAAAAACCTAGTGTGCTGTTGTTAAGTTCCCACACAGCTCTAGTTTCCCTCAACTCGCTCCATAACTGAGATGACCTTGAACTTCTGATCTTCTCGCCTCCACTCCTCAGACATGCACCACCACATTCTGCAGTGCTGAGGACTGAACTTCAGGCTTCATGAATGCCAGGAAGCACTGCACCTAATGAGTTAGATCCTCACTCCAATCTGGGTTGTGATCAACGCCTACAGTGTAAACCTAAATTGTGTGTCCGCATTGACCCTGTGGCTTCAGTAAAGGAAATTCTTTCTCTGTAAAGAAGTGTAGGCCAGGACAGAACACTCTCATCTACCAGCTCCTCACACCAAGTGCATGAGTCTTTGAAATTCAGCACCACACTGGAAATGACTGGAATGGCCTTCCTTCCATGGCATGCTGCTAGGACACTATTGTTAGGAACCTCAGTTCTCTTTAAAACAGTCCTCAGAACTCCATACAGAAAACTACTCTAATCCAAAGCCAGTGTAGCATCTAAGAATGGATTCCAAGACTTCTGAGGCAGCGCTGCTTTCCCTACAGTTCTCAGTAGCAGGGCTACTGACGAAGAAACAGGAGGATGCTAAGCCATAGTCTAGTGAGAATTGTGTAGGACTAGCTAATTAAAACTATACGTGATAACCTGCACCTACTGCCTATGCCTACTAGTTTCTCAATTCACAGGCCATACCATCCACAGCTGGGATCAAACCTGTCCTCCCGCATCCCCTCATCCACTCACGGCCATCCCCTCACCACTCACGGCCATCCCCTCAGCGCTGCCTCCTCAAGCAGCCTGAAGTCCTCCTCTAGGAAAGGGATGACAATGGGTATATGTGCTTCTTCACAATTCATGAGCAAAACTCTGCCAGCATTGCCACTGGATTTCCAGTGTGTGTATGTGTGTGTGTGTGTGTGTGTGTGTGTGTGTGTGTGTGTGTGTGTTAGCTTGTGTACATGATGGGAGGGGCAAGCACACGTGTCCAGGTCAGTGGACAACTTTATGGAGTTGGTTCTCGCGATTGCCAGTCCTGTGCATCAACCCCCTTTACCCACTGAGTCATTCACAGGCCCGGTTTCTAGTTTTTAGTAACACCAATAAGGTGCCTTTTCTCTTTTTTTTACATTTATTTATTTTGTGTGTGAGTCAGCTTCTTTATTAAACCAATCACGGTGACATATATTCACACATTGTAAAGGAATCTTCCACATTTCTCCCTTTTTGTCTAAATAAAAAGAAAGGCTTTAACACAGTAAAATTATATATCACAAAACAGGTGTCAGGTCTAAAGACAACACAATACACACAGAATCCAGACTGTGTATTTCCCATCTTTACGTGGTTTATTATATTTTTTATTACTTTATTTTATAGACTTTATTATTTTTAAAGTATTTTTGTTTTTATGACTGTCTATACCATTTCTCTTTTCTCTCCCAAGCCTATGTGCCTTTTTAAACACACTGTAACTCGGTTAGAGGTTTTTTCCATCTGAATCTGTCTTTACCGTGTATCTGTAATCTTTTCTGTCTGCCTGAGCAAAACTTAAACCCGCCATGCAGTTCAGCTCACGGCCTGCGGGCAGGGCTCACCCGTCAGTGACAGCACCGTAAGCTCAAGCCCGCAGGCAGCAGCTGGCATGAGAGACACGAGACTAGGAAGCTGCATTGGCCCTGTTTTTGTGTGTTTATAATCCAGGGAGACCATGGCAGGAGGCTCAAGAGTTCAAAGCCTGCCTAACAACTGAGACAGTGTATCAAAATAGATAGATAGATTAATAGATAAATTGATAGATAGATAGATGATAAATGAGATAAAAATTCCAATTTGCCCTTGCAAATGCAATTGGTTTAAACTAGTTTAAATACTATGAATCATACGTTTTATCTGTTTACCATTTCCATAGCTGTGCATTATCTGAGTAACTGCTTGAAAAGAATTACAAGACTTAAAACAAACACAATCTTATTTTCCATTTACTAAATAATTTCACTAATTTAAATTACTGTCAGCCTTCTAATTAACTCATGAAAATTGTAAATTATAAATTTAACATATACATTTAAGAAAAGAATCCTCACCATTCATTTGCAATTCTGTAGCCACTGAGTCTTTCTCTATTTTATATACAATAAACTCCATCAACTTAAAAATATGTAACATTAATGATCATTACTTCAATATAAATATTTGTGTTTGCCTATAAATCGACATGAGGAAAGGCCTCTCTTACCCTGAAGGAACGGCAGATTTGTGTTTAGTTGGGAGGAGTTGTCGCTGATGTTCAGAGCTTTGTCTTGTGCCTGGGGATTCCAGCTGGGTCCAGCTGCCAAACGGTCCTCTTCAAGCAAAACAGCAACCACCTTTGAAAGACACGCGAGCAGGGACTGGAGAGATGGCTCTCTTGCAGGGAGCCTGGGTTTAATTCCCAGCACCTACATGGTAGCCCACAAGCACCTGTTACTCTAGTCCAGGGACTTTTTTGGCCTCTTCAGGACCACAGTGTACACATACGGTGCACAGATAGACAGGAAGACGAAACACCCATACACAATAAAATTAAAAAATAATTTTTAAGGTTGGGCAGCGGTGGTGCATGCCTTTAATCTCAGCTCTGGGGAAGCAGAGCCAGGTGGATCTCTGTGAGTTCAAGGCCAGCCTGGTCTACAGAGTGAGATCCAGGACAGGCTCCAAAAGTACACGGAGAAACCGTGTCTCGAAAAAAAATTATAGATATAGAGACAGAGATGGGTGTGCACAAAAGAGGCTGTGAGATGCAGGCTGACCCCGGTCCCCACACTGTCACCACACGTCCTCCTCCTCACTGCAATGTACCGAGGACTCTCTCCTTAGTCCCAAAACTTCACACCAACACAGAACCTGACAATAGTAACAAATATGTCCAGCCTAATCCTATTTCTAAGCCACAAATCCCTCTGTAACTGAGACACTGAGGCAAAGTAGTTGGTAGGTATTCATAACAGAATCTGATGAACAGACTTGATCTAATCAACCTGTCAAAGCTTAACACTATTATGCTGTTTTTTCTACCCCATATTTAAATTCTAAGTTTATATAAAAAGTTAGAGACAACATAGAGATTAGGATATCAACTTCATATCTTAACATATTTGAAATTACCAACGTTTGTAGGTCACACCTGTGGTAAAGAATTTTGTAGGGGTGGAGAGTTGGAATATTACAAGTCCACAGTCAAATTGCCTCACGTTATCTCTTTAGCTCCTGAAAGCCTTTCATTGCCCACCTTTGTGCCTGTCCTTATGACCTTAGGATTACTAACTCAGAGACTAAGAATGTCGTTAGACAGTGTCTGAGGCCTACAGCACAGACTTCCTCCCATTGCCGTGGCCCTCCTACCTGAGGTTCTCACAGTGTATCTGAAAAGTGCTTTGATTTAGGATTTTCTTCTGTTCTGTAACTATAAAAACTTCATGCAACTGTCTACCGTGTTGAAACATGGTATTTAGGGTAACCTAAATCTGTGTGTCCAGGCCAAGGTCACTTAAGGCTCTAAAATAAACTTTCTTATTCCCTTTGAGGTGAAAGCTGTGTTTTTACATCAACAAAAGACCTTTCTCTTTTAGAGATCTACACTTAAATATATGTAGAATAAAAGTTAGAGGGTTAGTTTCAAAATAATCAGGTGAATGATGGGAGAAGGGAACAATAAGGAAGAAGGAGCCAGTTGAGGGGATATGTGCTGCAGTACGTGGAGCTCACAATTGTGTAGTTTGAAATTTTCCACAGCCAGTTGTTAAAATCTTGAGGTCATTATTTACAAATACTGCATAGATTTACACTTGTTTTGCCAGCTTAACATGTTTGGCTTAAGAGTCCATAATTATTTCCAACTGTAGGTGTAGAGAGCCGTGCACGGCCGTGCCTCAAAGATGGCGCGGCGTCTGGCTTCTGCCTTCCCGATGGCAGATGCTCCTTATTTGGCTAAGGCTAGGATCTGGCTTGCTTCTGCACACCTGGACCTAATCTGGCTTGCTTGCATATGTCTGACCCTATCGGCATTGTCCACGTGGCACCACGGGGTTGATTGCCCAGTGGCTATAAAGGGTGTGGGCTGGCTTTCCCCAGGAAGAAGATCGGAGGAGAGGAAGGAGATGGAAGATCGGAGGAGATAGGAGATCAGAGTGTGTGTGAGTGTGAGTGTGTGTGTGTGTGTGTGTGTGTGTGTGTGTGTGTGTGTGTGAGAGAGAGAGAGAGAGAGTGTAAGAGGGAGAGAGAGAGAGTGAGAGTGAGAGTGAGAGTCAGAGTGAGAGTGAGTGAGAGTGAGAGGGGAGAAGAAGATGGCTTTCCCCGGGGTCAGAAGATTGTTCAAGGTTCCTGAATAAACTGCTTGGAGAAGAGCTTGGCGTCGCGTCTTCCTTGCTGGTCGAGGCGGACATGATGTGTAGGAAATTATTAAAGTATAGAACCACAAAACACAGGATTTTCAGTGATATATATTTACCTAGTGTCATTTTGCATACAAGAACTTAATGAAAGTATTACTGATAATCTGTAAGAAAATAATACTTGAAAATGAAGAACTGATTCTAAGCCACAAAGCTCCAAGATTTCAGTAGCACTATTTCTGAAAATAATGAGCCCTTAAGCACTAACACAGAAGAGGACATGCAACACAGAATGTACCTGGCATGCTGCCCGGAGAAAACTAGACAGACGTGGAGTGTCAATCTTTGGTACAACTATGACATCAGAGAAGTCTTTTTCTTCACTACCTACAATAAAATGTAGGTTTATTAAATTAATAAAGTCAACTCCAAAACAATTATGCTTTATAAATCACAGCATTCAAAGCAGTGTTGCAAATACTGAGATCCCTAGGAAAAGTCAGAACATTGCATTACATTCTCTATTTGAGGTTGTTTCCAATTTCACATTGTTCTATAGTAAGTTCATGAGCTGAATCCGATTCAACTGTCTTAAGGAATACAGTGAAAGGAACTAGTGTGTTCGGTGCTAGTTTTAGGTTACAGGTCAAGCATCTACAGATGAGAAATCTGCAACACTTATTGTTTGGGGTGCTTGAAATAAGAGATACAATGCCTAGAGGTTTCTTATGGTGAGGTTACCTGAGGATATATTCCTTGCTGTACAGAGATAATTCCTTAAGAAAAAAAAATCAACCAGTAATGTATAATTCATCTGGATAGTTGCACATCTATGTTCTAGAAACCTCTGGTCTGCACTAATGGAACACATCTTCAAATTGCACTTAAAAAGTGAAAATTCTATACTGATGAGAACAAACTATCTGAGTCTCAGAACAGAGTTTGTCCTACAGTTATATGGTGAGTATTTGGAATATCTTCCCAACCTCATTACAAATCCAGGTCAGGGGTTAGCCATGGTTCTAGGTCAATTTAATGATTCCCGGTGGTTCAACAGCTCTAATCTCATTCATTAACATGAGCTAATTTGTTTTTTCAAAGGAATAATGAAAAGGCGCTTCCACAGTCATATACTAACAACCACATCAAAAAGAAACACACAAGAAAAAGGAATTAAGTAAAAACAAAACGAAACCTACTGTAAAGAGAGTAGACAATCAACACTCAAGAGTACCAAGGTTACCTCCAGATACAACAGTGCCTTCTCCTGGGTGCTGGGTCCACACATCCCTGGTTTCTATCTCTTCAGTCTGAACGTCTCTCTCAACATTATCTTCATTGTACTGAACATATGCCTTAGAGAAAAAAGGGGGTTAGAATTAACATCTAGCTTCAATTTCAGAGCAATTTGCCATTACTGAAGATAAAAGCAACCACATTTTTTTTAAAAAAGCTAACTTCAAAATTTTTTAAAGGTGAGCATTCTTGAGGCTGGGATAGGTTGGCCTATGCAGGACTTTCTTGAACACTAATTGATGTGGGAAGATCCTGCCTAGAAGTGGGTGACACAGTTCCCTGGGCTTGGGTTCTGGATGGCATAAAAAGAGAGAAACTAGCTGAGCACAACTATGCATGCATCTGTCATCTACTCTTCTGAGTGCAGATGTAACGGGACTAATTCTCTCAGGCTCCTGCTGCTGAGACCTCCCTGCTATGGTGGGCAGTAACCTGGACTTGTGAGCTAAAATAAATTCTTTGTCCCCTAAGTTGCTTTTGTCAGGGTATTTTATCAGAGAGACCAGAAAAGAAACTGAGACACTGTCTTCTGTACCAGTCATTCATCATGCCCACCGGGCTATCTTTAGACTTTCCATTCTTTGAGTTTATGAGTACCAAGTTACAGAGGACACTCTTTCTCTCAACAACCTTCAGAGACCATTTCCAATTCTAATATTCTAGAAAAGAGACAAGGCGCACACACACATACTATACTTCCATTAGATAACACAGCTTTTACTAACCTGCTTGGTATTTTTTTTCCCGAAGTTCCTAATATACATGTCATACTCATTTACTGGTGGTAGGTCCAAGAGAGAAAAAGTGAATGAAAAGTCTAAATCAATAAGCCGGAGCAGTTTTGTACTTCGTGTCCTTTAAAACAGATTGGAAACAAAAATTAAATTGAATAATACACTCAGGTACATGCAGGAGGGTGTATCTTAGGGTCACATATCAGTAATAAGAGTGAGTCTCAAGTACTCAATAATTATTTTAAATAATTAAATAGAAGCTGAGGGTGTAACTCAGTGGCCAAATATTTTCCTAACTTATAGGAGACCCTACATTAGAGCCCTAGCAGAAAGGGAAAAAATGAACTAAATAAAAGCAGTCACAAAGTAATGGCGTGAATATATCATGAACCAAACGTGCAACTGGTCCATTGCAGTACACGAAGGTTGATAACGTTACAACATACGTATACCAGAAGTTTCTTGACTGATTCACTTTTTTCAGTATTTAGAGTGTTGGCTAGTACGATGACATTTCTGATAGTACATCCTCCTGGAGGCTACAGAAGCCTATTTCCACAGGAAACAGCATCTGACAGCAGTAAGCCCAGACACTGGACTCCCCACACCTGACACTTGGTTCCCTCTTGCTGCCTCAGTCTTCTTTCCCAACCATTTATACTGGTTTCTTTTTTTTCTCCCAGACACCCTAATGGTGACAGGCCCTGGACTCAACCCTTAGTTGTCCACTGCCCCTCCCCCAGGCTAAAGCAAGCTGAGCACCAAGAGCTTTTATTTCTGCCAACACCAGCACTCCCACACTGCTGGTGTTCAGTACACTTGCTCTTACTTCTCTCCTCGCCTGTCCTCCTCCACTCACACCGAGTCCTCACACAGCTCTCACTTCTCCACCATCCTATTCTCTGGACACCATCCTGTCTTTCTACATACTACCTTCAATTCTGTCTCCAAACTTCCTTCAGCTATTTTCCCCAGCCACAGAAGAACATCCCACGTTCCCCGGCTGTCCACATCTTCCCTGTGTGGGTGGCTCAAGACGGGGCTCAGCTTACTGTTTCTGTGCACTTATCTAGCTATTCCAGCATCAGCCACAGAAAATCTTCCTTGCTCTACTACTGCACAGCAACCACACACAATCAATGACAGTGTGCCATGGCTGATGCTCCCCACCCTGTACTTAATCAGACTGATTTCTTGTGCTAAGAATACAGCACAATCACTGGGTTTTGTAATTAACTTTGGCATCTGAGTTCAAAGCCTCTAATCTTTTCTCCTTCAATAATGTCTTCACTACTCCTGACTCTTAGTACTTCTATATAATTTTCAGAATCAGCATCCTGAAAGGTATGAATTCACACACACCCTTACTGGGATTTATAATAGAACTTTTTTTTTTTAATTTCCTGGGTCTTCATAGTATGTGCTACTCTTTGTAATGTTGGATGCTGTTGTTGTCTGTATTTGTTGAGATGACTACATAGTTTTCTGTTCTAGGAAGGTGATAATGACATGAGTTGATGTTAACCCAACCCTGTGTTCCTAATTCTAAGGTATTACACGTTTTGGGTGTCGTTGTGAGATGGATGACGAGATTTAGGGATACTAAGGTGGCTATTCAAAAGCATGAGTCTGCCTCTTTGCTGAAACAGACATCCAGATGAGTCAGCATTTGACTGGGGTAGCTGGGCTGTCTCAAAGTGTCTGTGAGGGTATCTGAGGCATTGACATCTGAGTTGCTGGGATGACTGAAGAGCATCTGTCCACAGTGAGCTTGTGTAACCCAATAGGCTGGTGGCTCTGGGGGGACAAAAGACACAGGAAGTATGAAATCTTGCTTTCCATTCAGGAGTCAGTATGAAATCTTGCTTTCCATTCAGGAGTCAGCATCCTCTTCTGTCTTTGGGCATCAGAACTCCACGCTCTTGAGCATTTGGATTCCAGGACTTAGATCAGTAGTCCACCAGCTCTCAGATTTTGTCTGGTCTAAGAACTGGACCACCCACTTGCTTTGATATGAGATTTTCTACTTATTCGTCATTTGGATACCTTTTGAGTTTTTTGGTTTGGTTTGATTTTTTTGTTTGTTCTGTTTTTTGAGACAGAGTTACTCTGTGTAGTCTTGGCTGTCCTGTAACTCACTCTGTAGACCAGGCTGGCCTTGAATTCACAGGGATACACCTGCCTCTTGAGTGCTGAGATTAAAAGAATGTGCCATCATTGCTCAGCTTTGGATAGCCTTTTGAGAGACTTCTTAGAATACATAGTCAAGTGAGACAAAGGCCGTAATAAATCATGTCCCCACTCCACAGTCTATGTATGTGCTCATGTGTGCTCGAACTCCTGCACGCACGCGCACGCGCACACACACACACACACACACACACACACACACACACACACACACACCCCCTTTTCACTTTCATAGTCACAAAATTTTAAGTCAAAGTCTGGCTAAGCCTCAGGAAAAAAATTCAGAAGTTAGAAATGTGGCCTATTTTTCTATTCTCTGGAATCTGTGAAAATGGGAGTTATTTCCTCAGATATTTAGAAGACAATAGGCTAACTTTGTACTTTAACTTGTAGGAAAGTGGTTTACGTATGAAACACATTTAACAAACATATGGATGCCTAAATGTTCTACTGCATTTTGGATCTCTGGTGACCAGTTGTGACTTTCTAAGGTTTACTCATTTCACCTAAATTATTACTCGCAGTTATTTATATAATCTTATTTAATTTAGTAAGATCTGCAGTAATGTTCTCTTTTCCATTTTTACTGTCTTTGTTTTCTTTCTTTATTGTACTTAATCAAGACCTACCATGGAGTTTATACAATTTAAGAAAAATTTCCAAGAATAATTTTGGCTTTGCTAAATTTATTACAAATGCTTTCAATTTTACAGATTTTTGCTCTTACATTTTATTTCATTCCTTTTAATTTCTAATTAATTGCTGCCTTTTCCCAGGCTCCTGGCATGGCTGCTTGAACCACCAATATCAAGCCTTTTCACACTCCCTTCACTGGTCTGTTGGTGTAGGTTCAGCACATCCCAGACAGAGGTTTCACTGTCACTGTTAAAAGCAGTTTGTGGGCCTGGGTGTGGCTCTGTGGGCCTGGGTGTGGCTCAGTGCATGTGTCTAGTACAGAGAGGGCCTCAGTCTAAACCACCAGCACCAAAAATTCTCCTAATTTCTTCTTTTACTTATGTTCATCAAGAACTACAATGTTTAATTTTCTAACTTCTAGAAATTTTCTCCTTGATTTTCTATTGATCTGGAGCTTAATTCCATTATGGTCAGTGATCTACGTCACCTTGGTCCATTGACTGTTTAAATGTTATAAAACGCCACCATATTTTTGTTTGCACTAAATTTCTATCTCCAAAAAGACAAATGTGTTAAAAAAGAAAAATCTGGCTGTGTGGGCTGGAGAGATGGCTCAGCAATTATGAAAATGCTGTTCTTACAGAGGACCCAGATTCAATTCCCAGCACTAACTGGTAGTTAACAATTGTCCATAACTCCAATACTTCCTCCTGACTTCTGTGGCTTCTATGGGCACCAGGCACATATGTGATGCATAGACACATATATGAGCAATACACTCATACACATAAAAAATAAAATATATAAATCTAGAAAGATTATTTTTAAAAATCATTTACTATATTTGTGGACACTATTTCTCCTTCGGGTTCTGCTGGGTTTTTGGGGTGTGTGCTATGTAGCACTGCTGTTGGGTAAACAGGTGCGTTGGTCAGGCTTTGCTACGCCTCCCTTTACCTTTATGAAGTAACATAGCCTCCTCATTCTTAAGTTTGCCTGACATGGGTGACATCATATTGTTTTAGTTAATGTTCGCTTGACACATCTTTCCCCACCCATTTATTTTCAGCCTTTCTGTGTCTGGCATGCAAAGTTTCTTTCCTAAATGTGGTGGTTTGAAAGAAAATGGTCCCCAAAGGGAGTGGTACTACTAGGAGGTGTGGTCATGTTGGAGTAGGCATGGTCTTATTAGAGGACGTGTGTCACTGAGGGGCGGGCTTAAAGATCTCCCATGCTCAAGATACGCCCCCTCCCCACCCCCACCAGTGTCTGACCACTTCCTGTTGCTTGTGAGTCAAGATGTAAGAACTCTCAGTTCCTTCTCCAGCACCATGTCTGCCTGCATGCTGCCTTGCTTCCTGCCATGACAATAATCGACTAAACCTCCAAACTGTAAACAAGCTGTAAAAGAGCCACTCCAATTAAATGTTTTCCTTTGTAAGAGTTGCTGTGGTCATGCTGTCTCTTGACAGCAATAGAAACCCTAACTAATACACTAAAATATACTTATTTTTCCAGTTGTAAAATCTATGCCTTAAAATTGAATTTTAAAGCCTACAAGCATTTAATATCATTATTGATACGTTTTAGGTTACTTTACCATCTTTCTATTTTCCATATATTCTCTATTCTTTTGTTTTTGCTTTTCTTGCCTAACATTGGGTTGATCATGTGCTTTAATTATTCTGCTTATTCATGTGTTACAATTTCTTCTTATTACCTTTGAATGGGTAGCCTAAATATTTCAACAAGTACCCTTGCCCTATTAAAATTTAATTTAAATTAAGTGTTTTTTTTTTTTAATCTCTGTTTGCCAGGACCTTACAATAACTTTTTATCCCCTTTATTTCCCCAATTCTTGGGCTAAACTGTTAAGAAGTTAATTCTATATGTTTAGTTTCACAAGATACTACAGTCTTTGATTCAGTCAGTGTTGATATCTACTTGTTCATAAACTTACCCTTCCCTCTTTCAGTCCTCTCTTTAGGAGTCCATGTTTTTATCTGGCATCAGTTGCTTCTGCCTGAAATAATGTCCATTTCTTTTAGTATAGGTCTGTGAGCAAGGAGTTCTCATGGTTTTTGTAGGTCTGAAAATGTGTAGCTTTTACTTTAATTTTTAAGGACATTACTCACTTTCAGCTTGTTTACTTGGAGCATGTCTGTCACCGTGGTCTGTATTTTCCTTTGCAAACCTCCCACTGAAGCTGTCTGCTCCAGCTTTCAAGCTGCAGCTTCCCCACCCACCTGGCATCTGGTGCTCAGTAGTCTGACTGGATTCTCTCTACTGTGGTTGTGTTTACTCTTCTTTATTATCTACGTTTATGCTTCTTGGACCTTTTAAGCCTTAACTTGTTTACATTCATAGATTTTTGAAAATCTGCAGATAGTATGTCTTAAAATACAGCTTCTGCCCCAGTCCTTCTCTTTGTCCTTCCTGGGATTTGATTATACACGTCAGATGAGTCTCACTCTGTGTCACGACTGTGTAGTCTCTTTACCAGCCCCCTTCCATATCTTCACTTCAAGTTGGAAACTTCCCATTATCCTCTCTCCAACCCACTAACCTGCCACCTCTGAAAACTTGCTATTGAACTAATTAATTTTTAGTTTCAATTATTGTATTTTTGGAGAAGAGTCCAAAATTTGATTATCTCATTGATTTCAATGTTCTGATCAAATATATTGCTTGTTAATTTACTTATACACACATTAATCACATGCTATTATAATCTTATTTTTAAAATCCAGATCAAATTATTTACTCTCAAGATCATACATGGACCTATTACTATTCTTTGTTTTTCACTCTTGGTTTTAGCTATATGATCCCAGTTTCTGATGTGTCTAGTAATTTACTGGATAACAGACATTGAGTGGAAAATTCTGTAGGAATTTTGGATATTTTCTTTTTAATCTCTTCCTGGCAAGGAGAATCCAAGTAGGTCACACTCAACAGGTCCTACTGGGATGATGAGAGGCTCAGTGTCATGCTCTGTGATGTCAGATCTATTTCAGCCTTGCCTTTATTCCTAGCACAGAGGCTTAGGAGCTTCAACCAAAGTCAGGGGTGTTTAGCAAGGGCTCTCCTACTTCAAAGTCCTAAATATTTTCCATCTCCCCAGCCCTAAGTGAATGTCAAAGTTCCTGCTCTTGCTTTCTACCTGAATTGACCACCTTGAGAAACACATACAGCCCCTGGAATGGGAATACAGCAGCAACACAAGGTTGGCACTCTACACTTGTCTTGTAGAGCTTAGTCCTTTGGGTCCTGGTGGTCCCAGCTGTTACTAGTTCATGCAGGCATCTCAGAGTTTGTGCATACTGCTGTTGTTTTAGATCTAACTTTCACAGTTGGTTTTAGCTCAAGAGTTTTTTTGATACAAACTGTTCGTCATAGAAAGAGGTCGGAGTCTTGTCCACATCCTGTGAAACTCCTAGTTCAGAAAGGAATGTTGCTCTGACAACTGTACACTGCTCAATAGCATCTGTCACTGGGTAGATGCATTTCATACATCATAGAAAACTGCCTCCTCAAAGGTCCTGTCAGGTTGTTACAGCCAAGATTTTATCCTATGCTTGCACTGGACACTGGGACACTGTCATTGTTTTAATATTCCATCTACTCCACATGGAAGTATTCACCTCTGTGAGTGAAAACACATTTATAACCTACTAACAGAACACACTTACTCATGCACTGGCAGCATAACTTTTTTCTATTGACTCACTGGTCATTCAAGACCCACCAGGTGGAAGACTGAGGAAAGAAGGCAGGAGAAAAAAAAAGCTTTCTTCTTCTCCAACCCTCTCACCCTGCTTGTAACATTTCTCTGTGGCTCCCGACCTTGCTCTGTAGCCACTATGGTTCAACATCCCTGATCACAACTATCACAGACTTTATGGGAGGCCAAAATTAAAAGTTATGGTCTCCAAGCCACTGCAGGACCAATGTTATAAATTTATTTAACTCATTTGAAAGACTGTGCTTTGAGATGAGTATTCTAGGGTTCTCTGCCCACACAGGACTGCCTAGAGAAGTATTTCCCCACATTCAGCCATCCAGGAACTCAGAGGCTAAATAAAGCCATGCATGCTTCAAAGGGTCTAATTAATGCTTGAGCTGGTGGCAGACCTTGGTATCATTTACACGCTGATAGTTTTGCAGGCATACAAGAATACAAAAATCATTAGGTCATGGAGGCTTCTACCTATATTTCAAAAGATCAGTGCCACAGAGCCTCAATGCAGCATGAGCCAAGCTCAATCTGCCTTAGCAAGAATCTGTCCACCAGATCTGAAATGTATGGTTGTGATTCTGTTGGAGTCAAAACAGACCATTGACTCCCGGGCTGAGTCCACAACAGTCAGTCATGAATTTACTGCAGACATTAGATAGCAAACACCTAGTATACAGAACAGTACACAGTAACCAGAATAAGAGATGAACACAAAGAGAATTGTAATACTAATTAAAGAACTGACTAGGCTAGGGATACAGCTTAGAGGTAGAGTACTTGCCTAATAAACAAAATACTAGGTTCAATATCCAGACAATTCACCTACACAGTCAACAATGAAACATGGGAAACTCTAGCTTTAAGACCATGCTGAGGAAAGGGACATCAAAAGGCACTAACACAAAGCTACAGCTGAGGTCAGCTCAATGGGAGAATATTCACCTAGAGTGCACAAGAACCTGGATTCCGTCCACAGCAGGACAGGTACGCACACAAACACCTGTGTCAAGCTCCTCAGTATACCTACTTCTGCTTGAGAGCCTGACTCCGGCTCTTCTGGCGATGCGAGGCTGTTGCAAAATCCACAAAAATTCCACAAACAGGGGTTCTGGAGATGGAATCATTTGCATCTGCATAGGGGAAAAAAGGCTGTTGTGACAATGAAACAGTTCCTTCAAGTAAAAAAAAAAAAGGTAAAACAATTATAGTCATATATAAAATCACACTCAATAATTTTTTACTTGAAATTGATAAATCACACCAGTAAGAGTTTTAGAAATATTTACAAATGTATGTATAAAATATAGTTTTCTGTTCCTATCCTACATAGTCTGAAAAAAAATAAGATATACAGTAAACTCTCAATTGTGGTTTCACTTTCTAAGTCTCCATTTACCTACAGTCAATTGTGGTCTCAACATTATTAACTGAGTAATTCCAAAACCAGCAGCTGTAAGCACTCCCTTGCTTGTTGTTCTGGGTAGCTTGACGAACTCTCACAATGCATTGTCTAGAATGTGACCGGTCCTTCCGTTCGGTATAGGCAGGCTGTAGATGCTCCCTGCCCCCAACTCAGTCACAGTTATCAGATCAGCTCCCTTGGCATCACACTGCTAACACTCAGGGAACCCTGAAAGATGCCCTAAAAGGACAAGAATAGCAATATGGATTTACCAAAAAGGAACCACTAGGACCTTCCTCAAGGGCAACCATGTAGCATAGCAAATGAAGTCACTTACCAACAAGCCTGACCACCTGAGTTGATCCCCAGAACCCACAAGATGGAAGGAGAGAACCAACTCTAGAAAGCTGTCCTCTGACCCCAACATAAACACCATCACAAGCACATGCTGTCTCACACACACATACACACAAGCAAATAAATTTTCAAAAGAGCTTCCTTAAAATAAAAAGGTGAATGTCCTCAATTTAAGGAAAGAAAAAAACACCAAGGTTGCTAAGTTCAACAGTAAAATCAAATCCTCCATCCATGAAAATATGAATAAGAAATTCATGCTACATGTGTTGCAGCATCTTAACCTGCAGAAGTTTCCACACCAGTACATGGTGTAAGCCTAATTAAGAGGGACGAGGCACTAGACTTGTATTGGAGAACACGAACAGAAATGTGTTCAAGCTGACGGCAAACTGTTGTATCAGAAAGCACTTGAGGACTAGAGATCATTCAGTGCTCCAGCCCTTGCTGCTCTTGGTGAAGATCTGGGTTTGGGTCCCAGCTCTCAACTGTCCATAATCCCAGTTTCAGAGGATCTGATGCCCTCTTTGGACCTCTGCATGTATGATGTGTATGCACATATGCAGGACACTCATAAAATAAAAACAAACCAACCCTTCAGAAAGCACTTGGTCTATGAAGGCCTCAGCAAGGGTCCCCCTCGCCTGCAGGTGAAGAAGCTGGTTAGGAAGAAGGACACCACCTGAAGCAAGTCTTCAACTGCAATGAAACCAGGCTCTTCTGAAAGATGCCAGATGGAAACTACATTCACAAAACTGTGATGATGCAGATATATGCCTGCAATCCTAGCACTCAGAAGGCTGATGCAGGAAAATTAAGAGCTGAAGACAAGCCTGGGCTATACAAGGAGATTACCAAAGAAACAAAAGCCAACAAAAATGTGCAAAAGAAGGAAGCAGGGCTTAAAACATGAAGCCATGGATCAATCTGGCTCTACACGAAGTGCCCTAACAGGGTACATGACAAAATCAGGTGCAGTGTGCAGAGCCAGGAGTTCACATTCACGAAAGCAAAGCACTTGGACATGTTCCACCAACTTAGTCAAAGAGTGTTAGTGACAGCCATTTTGTTTATAGAATGATTCCACCAATGCTTTATCTCAGAAGTGCGGGGGAAAAAAAACTTGGAAGGAAAAGGGTTGGTATTTAAAGCCCTACTAACAATAACAGCACACCTGACCACCAGAATCTGTCGACAAAATGAAAACCTCAAGGTTGTATTTTTATACCAAATACACCACACTGCTTTAGGCCCTTCGGATGACAGCTCTGTGCTTGACAAGACCACATATGCCTGTCCTGCATATGATTATAATTGACATAGGTCCTGATGGGGACACAGTGTGGTGTTGGGAATCATTAAATTGATGCAATAACATACAACACTGCAATCAGTTAAAACCGGAGATTGCTAGAAGGACTGATGGAGTGGTACCAAGAGCCACTGGGAAGTCACAGACATCATTCAGGACAAGCCAAGCTGAGGAACAGGATTTTAAGCTCTCAGTGAAAAGGTAGAAGAAAATACTGAAGGCCATCGAAGAATATCAGCAAATGAGATTCTGGAAGAACCTGTGAACCACCTACAGAGCATAGAAAGATGAAGATGAAATACAACCAGCAAGGTGGACATTACCAAAACTGATCAACACTGCTGTAACATTTTCAATTGCACAGATACTAAAACACAAAATTGTGGACCATGACTCACATAAAACCCAGCATGAAAATCACCCTCAGGATCACCAAAGGATGACCTCAGCAGCAACATTCTAATGTGGTAGGAGGAAATGCTACTTCCCATTAAAATGCTCTTCCAAAAACGTTTACACAACTGAGACTCCTCGCCATTGACACTGTTGGCTCCTGATCCACAACCACTGGTCATCAAGACCCAACGATCTGGAGTCATCCAAAGATCCTCCTTCTGACATACTATTGTCAGGTAAGTAGTAGTCTAGATATGTCCCAGTACCCATGTCACTCATCTCAATTTAGATAATCACTCCATCACCTCCTATCAACACAAGGTGGGTAAGTAGAGGATCATAAAATATTTGACTGAAAGAAGCCCACATTCACCTGGCTTTGGTTACAACAGACTGCTGTACTGTTCTTCTATCGTTCACCTCTCACTATACCTAATTCACAAACTAAACTTAATCATGAGGATGTATGGAGAAGAGAAAATACAGTATCTACTGAGCTTGGAATACCTGCAGTGATAAGACTGTTTGGGGGAATGTGTGTGTGTGTGTGTGTGTGTGTGTGTGTGTGTGTGTGTGTGTGTGTGTGTGTGTGTGGTGTCCACAGATGACAAAAATGATATGCTAAAGTTAAGAATAAGAAAATTATATCCTTCATCAGAACACTGAAATTTCAAAAGACATGATGTCCACATTAGTGGGCTGACAGAAAAGGCTCATATTGTGAAAAACAACCCCTTAGTCTATCTTTTATGATGGAAACAATCACCCACAATCCACCACTTTCTTCTAAGGGTTCCTAAATTTCTCTGCTATCAACATGTTTATTTTAATTGTATATTAATCTGTCTCCTCAATCCTCTTGGACATGTATTTGCACTTAACAAGAGTTTAAGACACAGACCCATCTTGTGGTTTATACACCTTCAGAGGCCTTTCGTGTACATAATCTCACTAATCCTCAAAGCATAGGGCCAATGATGTAGACGGTGTGGTTCTGGAGGAGAACATGTATCTGGTCCACACCAAAGTACAAGTTTTGGCACTAATGGGGTAGGTCATGCTGTGAACATCAGTATGCCAAAGCTCCAACCCAACCTTGAGAAAATAGCTGTCCCAGCTTCTAAAATGAGGAAACCTGTCTCTGTCTTTAAAGTCACAGATGCCACCTCTGGACCCTTCAGCACTGGGCACTCATCCACCAACAGAGATATGCCTTTTGGAGTTGTCAAAACGTGCTCGTTTCAGCAGCACACATACCAAAATTGGAGTTGTCAAAACTCTTTCAGACACTATGGTTGACATCGGTGCACTGAAAAAAAGTATTTATCAGCTTCCTATAGCCACAAAAATAAATGGTAAGATGAGAAGTTTATAAGCAAATAAACCCCAGGAGGAAGAATGTTCTCCTAAACCAACCCTATGACAGCTGTGGTGAGCCAAACGGGTACAGTATGCTACCACAAACTGTATGTTGTATGTTATTAACTTATTTAATTATCAATCTAGAGGAGGTCTTACCCTTACAGAAACTGAAAATCAGAGATGTTAACTAACTGTCTACCCTAGCTAGCATTTACTGTCAACATGACACAGCCTAGAATCACCTAAAAAAAAATCATAATTAAGTCATTGTATCAGGTTGGTCTGTGGACGTGTCTGTAAAGGCTGGCTTGAAGGCTGGCTTGACTACGTTAACCAATGTAGGAGAGCTCTGCCCACTATGGACGACACCATCCCCAAGCCAGTAGTCCTGGGCTAGCTAAGCATGAGCTGGCGAATGAGTCAGACAGCAAGCCAACAAGCAACATTCTTCCAGGGTTTCTGCTGCAAGCTCCTGCTTGGGTTCCGGCCTTGACTTCCTTTAGTGATGGACTGTGACCTGAAAGTGTATACCAAATAAATCATTTCCTCCCCTTTTGCTTATGGTCTCAGTATCTTATCACAACAACAGAAAGGAAACTAAAATACTGCTCAAGCTCACGCAGCTAGCTGATATTAAAAGTCGAGATTGAAACCCTCAAACAGTACAAGACCGAGCACTGTTAAACCTCTTCTGAGTTCCACCTACAGCACAGAACATGACTTTGTCGTGGTAATCACCCTCCACTCTGTCCCCTTGTACTAGTTTAATGCTGAGAGAGCTAAAACCAAAGTTCCTATTTTCTAGGGAATAATGTGTGTGAGAGCGAACAATTAATCTTATCAAGTAGGCTAAGGAAGAGATCATGCCCAGCAAAAATGTATGAAATGAAAAGGTTATTCATGGATTCATTACATAGATCTAGGTACACTGCCTCTCCATCATGAGTCCATGGTACCAATACCTGGGCAACAGCCAGTCCACACAGTAAAAAGGCTGGGTTCTTTCTTCTGCCAAGCCCATTCAGCCCTGGCCTTCATGTTTCTAGCTCTCAATTTACAGAGCACTAAGTATCCATACTGCCCAACAGTTTGTAGTCACACAATGTGATTGCTGATTACTCTTCCAGACTTCCATTTGCATTATTACACTGTAGTAATAACTAATTGCTATTAGCTTTATCCATTGCAGACTACAAGATTATTTAGTCTGATAAGTCTAATATTTTCCCATTTGTGCTATTTCAAAAGAAAATATTTCATTAAATGTCATAACTCTTCCTTTAAGTGATTTAAACTATTTACTCTCATTCTCATAACTTATCATGCCCAGATGTCAAGAATTTTCAGAAAATAGAATTCAAATTTCATAAAGGAAATTCCTCAGGAAAAAGTTCAGTAGGCAGTACGCTTCCTGACATGCTGAGTGCCATCCTGAGCCTAACAGTCACTTCATGGGGCTCTCCTCTGTTCTGTAGGATGTTCCTGGGCTTCTGTGGGGCTAGCCAGGCCTGCCACCTGCCCCATGGAGCTCTTCTGCTGACACATAGCCCAATCCTCCTGACAACAATGTGACCGCTGCTTGGTGAGAATTCAAGGAGGACATTACCAAAGGGAATAAGAACACACGCCTACAGCCTGCACAAGAGGCTAACAGCGCAGGCAATATGCATAGATGTACACGGGGAACAGCAACTTGCTATGGAATATCCCTTTGTACACTGTGAAGATTTGTCGCTGTGATTGGTTTAATAAACAAGCTGACTGGCCAATAGCTGAAGAGGATAAAGTTAGGTGGGAAAGTCAAACTAAGAATGATAGGATGAGGAAGGGTGCAGTCTAGAGTTGCCAGCCAGATGCAGAAGGAGCAGGAAATGAACGTACCATGCTAATAAAGGTACTATCACGTGGCAGAGAGTAAATAAGAAATATGGGTTAACTTAAAATGTAAGAGCTAGTTAGTAATAAGCCCAAGCTACTGGCTGAGCATTTATAATTTATATTAAATCTCTGAGTCAGTTATTTGGGAAGCAGCTGCCAGTTATTTGGGAGCAGGCGGTTGGGACAGGAAAACTTCACCAACAGTGACTGACAGTTCATAGCCACCCTTAACACACATGACTTGTGCCATAGGTGGAGCTCAGGGAGGCACACAGCGTAGGATTACTTGATGTATCAAGTATAACATCTGCCCACCTTGTGGGACTTTTCAGCAAATGTCTACATAGCGTCTGGAACGTGTTTCCCGGTTTTAAGTGTCCCTGTGCATACCTGCCCAGGACTCCTTCTCATACTCCATTCGACCTTGCTTCTGAAACAGTTTCAAAGATAACTCTCCAACCCTTTCATTCTCTGCACTGATTGCCTTTTGAATTTCTTGTATCTCCCTTTTCTGGGCTGGAGGAAGTTCTTCGGCTTTTTCTCTAGAGTCATGCTCATTATTGCTGTCATCATCTCCTTCACAAACCTCAAAGTCATCTTCGTAATCCTATAAACAATAATAAGGATTTGGGCACCCTTAAAGCAATTGAATTAATACTCACATACAACAAAACATCACAATTTATATTTTAAAATAAGCAAAACCCTTATTATGGCTAAGGGAGATTTTACAATGCACTGATTTTAATGTTGCTGGATTGTAAATTTGCAATATACTGCTGCCTTTGTTCTTCTGAAAACTAACCACATAATATAGAACCATGTACACTAAGAAATGTTAATAATGTATAAACCTTGTGTTAAGGTTGTGAAGGATTGTGCATACATATAGTGAGACATGCACACACATGTAAGTGTTTGAATGTAGCACACTTACAATGGGGTTAAACTATAAAACTCTTTAATTACCAAACACGGTGAGGACAAGCACTTGTGGGAACATAGTAAGCTTTGCACAGGTAATAACCAGATCTACATAAAAACTTAACAGACATGGACTAGAGAGATAAGGCCTACTAAATTATTACACATGCACCAGGCAGTGGTGGTGTACACCTTTAATGCCAGCACTTGGGAGGCAGAGGCAGGTAAACTCTGAGTTCAGGGCCAGCCTGGTCTACAGAGCAAGTTCCAGGATAGCCAGGACTACATAGAGAATCCCTGTCTTGAAAAAAAAAATTACTACACATGCACTAATTTTTAAGAATACATTGTTAAGGGCTGGAGAGATGGCTCAGAGGTTAAGAGCACTGACTGCTCTTCCAGAGGTCCTGAGTTCAATTCCCAGCAACCACATGGTGGCTCACAACCATCTGTAATGAGATCTGGTGCCCTCTTCTGGCCTGCAGACATACATGCTGTATACATAATAAATAAATAAATCTTTAAAAAAAAAAAAAAAAAAAAGAATACATTGTTAAACTGAGAAAAAATTAAATTTTATACATACTTCAAAATCATCTTCAAAATTGGCCAGATATTCCTCAGTCCCAGTAGCCTCTAAATCAAGGTCTTCCTTTTCAGGTTCCTAGAAGCAAAAGTCAAACATGAAACAAAAAATTCAATCATAAATTTAACTACTGCAAATAGGCTGGAAACCCATGTTTTCTAGGGTTTGTATGGTGCTGCTGATTTAAAAGTATTTATAAACATAACAACTTAGAATTATTGTCAGAGATACCCTTGTAAGAACATACTATACACATTAAAAAACTAAAAGGACTTTAAGCTTTTACCATAAACAAATGATAAATGTTTGAGGGATGTTTATTCTACAGTGACTATTATATAATAAACATGTGACCAGGTACAGGACGAGTGTTTAAGTTCTGTAGAAACAGAGCAGCTCAAAGTATGTATCTGAGAACAAAAGTGGCCACAGAGGGTCCCAGAAAACACGGACTAGAATGATGAAGTAAATGCATATGGGAGGAAACTAGAGTCTATACAATCAGCAGCTACACAGTTTTATTCGTTTTTGTAAACTGTTTATCAATTCTGGTTCAAATTGAACAAGTAACTTGATCACTTTCTCCTTTAAAAGTAATAGCTACCTTTCTAATGTTAAATTTCAAGTTTTAATGACAGATTTTTAATTTTCTGTTAAACGTACATTAACAGCTGGTTGTGATGGCAAACACCAGTAAGCTATGCTGATTGGAAGACAAAGGCAGGCCAGGTGGTAGTGGCACACACCTTTGATCCCAGCACTCAAGAGGCAGAGGTAGGTGGATCTCTGTGAGTTCAAGGCCAAACGGCTCTACAGAGCTAGTTCTAGGACAGGCTCCAAAGCTACAGAGAAACCCTGTCTTTTAAAAAAAGAAGGAGGAGGAGGAGGAGGAGGACAGGAAGGAGGATCACTCGAGCTCCAGACCAGCCTGCACAACACAGCGAGACCTCACATCTGGCGGGGTGGGGGGCAGTACACTCACCACATATCTAAAAGATTTGAGTTCATACTTTTTAAAAGATTAATAATCTCCCTCTATTGATTAGATTACAAAGTATTGACTTAAGTCACATTTTCATATGTCATAACCATTTTGATGGTTAACTACGTCAACTTGATTACGTAGAGAAGTTCCTACAGTATTTACAAAGCACACTCTGACTGTGTCATGAAAATGTGTCCAGAGAGTTCAGCTCAACCAGGGAAAGGCCCACCTAATGTGGGTGGCCGCGTCGCATACTCTGGAGGCCTGAAAAGCTGCAGCACAGGCTGTTCTCTCCCCACCACGCTGAATCTCTGAAAACACGAGACAAAATAAACCATCCTCCCTTCACCGGTTTGTCAGGTGTTTCGTTCCAGAGACCAAACCTAACAGGATATCAGACTGCAGATCCTAACATTACCAGGCTACACTGAGCAACGCTTGCTACACGGTGGCCTCAGGACGACATAAAGGCGGTGGCCGGGGAAATGGTACCTTGGCTTCCCTCTTCTTGTGCTCTTCCTTGGCAGACCTCTCTTTTTTGTCTGAGTGACTTCGGCGCCTCTCCTCGTCATGATGAAGCCCTTCCTTGTGCCGCTTCTCTCGGTGTCTCTCCTCCGTCTCCCTGTCAGAGAGCGAGTTCCCCTTCTCTTTCGAGTGTTTCTCCCTCTTCTCCCTTGTGCTGCTTCTGTCCCGGTGCTTCCTCTCTCGATCTGCATCTTTTGCCTTCCTGTGCTTCTTCTCACTCTCCTCTTTGTACAGCCAGTAGTTGAGAGGGTTCTCTTTGCTGTCTCCATACTGCAGCTTGGAAACCAACAGTGAAATCATGAGCAAAGGGGTCACAAGCACTGTCTGTGTGTATTATGGTAAAAGAAGCAGAAAAAAAAATCACACAGCTAGCACTGTTCTGTATCCCTAAAATCCTCAATCCGCTGTCCCAGAAGGAAAGCAATCCTCATCACACCAACAACAAGCACTGCAAAGCAACATCATCTAAGCCTAGAAGCCCTCTCTGACATTCAAAATGCAAAACTCCCCATGATGATGGTCTGGGCACCCCCGTGTTAAGGCTTGGTCTCCAGGGTGTCACTGCTGGGAGGTACCATGGACCTGCAGGAGGTGCAGCCACGTGAAAGGCTGAGGGGCTCTGGGCCTCATCTCTTCCTATCCCTCCCTCCTGCTCTCTGTTCCCTGATTTGGGATGTGAGTAGCTTTGCCCCACCATGCTGTCCTACAACTATATACTGATTTCCTTGGATATACTACTATAGCCACAGAAAACTAGTGCAGACACACAGCAAAGCAAACAGAATCTGCCTTCTTTCTTGCTCCACCACATTCTTAATTTGTCCTTCACCTTTAGCTCCACAGTCCTGTAGTCCCTGCTGCAAAGTCTCCATGACTTCTGTAGAAAGGCAGTCCCTGTGGAGAACACCTGCACCAGGCTGCTGCTGCTCCATGCAGTGACACAGTGTGCCACCTTCCCTTAACTGTCCCTCATTCCCACCCAGACAAGGAGCTATCATTTAGTCAGGTCTTTATCCCAACACCACCACCAAAGTTCAGTGAGTCACTCCTGACGGCAGTTATTACGATGGTATCCTAACTCTGATTCCATCTCAGAGCCTTCACGGCAGACCCTGAGCAAGCCTGACTCGATCCAGCCCCGCCAAGGGTCACTACGCTCACACTCCTATGTCACGCCTTCGTTCTCTATGTTCCTTTCACCAACTGGGGGACACTTGAGAGTCTCCATAAGCTCCTTCCTCAGTTCTCCTAAGTTCTAGTCACCCTGTGTATCTCTACTAGGAGAGGATTTCTAGAGAAATTAGGCTGCTCTGTCTGAGCTCCTCAGCCTTAAAGGCAGGTCAGTACCTGAGATCACTTGTCAAAACAAACTATGGGAATTAAAAAGCTAAGCCTAAAGGACCTTTATAGACCCACAACAAAACCCAGACAACTATTTACATCACTGTGGAGTAGGAAAACAGTTTGTGAAGCATTCTGTCTGCCAAAGGACAGAACTTGTCTATGTCATAATTTGCAGTTACTTATAAGATTTCTCAAATCAAATTTTTTTTAAAAAATAGCGTCATAAGTGCACACAAAGAGTTAAGCTTTTAAAGTACGCCCAAGACTTGCCACTAGAAAGTGTTACACAAGTAGTAATTAATGGAAGGGTGGTTAACGTCCACAAGAAAACACCCACATCGGGCACTGGAGGAATCCCTTCTACGGCGATACTTTATTTGTGCTGAAATGTGATTTTATTTGTATGTTAATAAATAAAGTTGCCTGGAGATCAGAGGTCAAAGAGAGCCATAAACAGAATCAGGCGGTGGTAGCACACACCCTTAATCTGATCACATGGCAGGCAGAGTCTCTGTGTGGTCAAGGACACAGCCAAGCATGGTGACACGAACCTTTAATCCCAGTACCAACCATAGAGACCTGGAGGTCTGTATAGACAGGCAATGACAAGGAAGTCATGTGGTTCGGTTCAGAGCCAATGAGAAAGTAGGACAGAAAGGCAATAAAAACACAAGTCAGACAGGAAGACGCTCTCTCTGGGGAAGCTACTGCTAATGGTAAGCTAAATCGTGGCTCTTGCTCTGATCTCTTTGGCTATTAACTCTGTATTTGGCTCTGTGTTTCTTATATAATAAGACTGTTTAGAATTTCGTCTACACCCTTCCAATGTTCTTCAGCCCAGGATTAAAAAAGAAAAAAGTGGTATCCTGGCTAATTTTATATCCACTTGATCCAAGGTGGAGTCATCTAAAAGGAGGGAATCTCAACTGAGAAAATGCCTCCATAAGATCTGACTATAAGACATTTTCTTATTAGTGACTGATGGAAGAGGGCCCAGTCCATTGTGGGTGGTGACATCCCTGCACTGGCGGTCCTGGGTTCTATAAGAAGGCAGGCTGAGCAAGCCCTGAGTACTAAGCCAATAAGCAGCACCCCTCCAATGCCTCTGCATCAAGTTCCTGCCTCCAGGTTCCAGGCCTGTTTGAGTTCCTGTCCTGAATTCCTTTGCTGACGAACTACATGTGGAAGTGTAAGCCAGGTAAACCCTTTCCTCCCCACGTTGCTTTTGGTCATGGTGTTTCATCACAGCAACAGTCACCCTAACTAAGACAAAACATCTTAGGTGATAGACATGCCAATCACCCTATTATGGAGATTAAACACTGTATGTACATATTGAAATGTCACACTATCCCCTATAAATATGTACAATTATTAGATGTCAATTAGAAGTTGAAAATGTATTTTAAAAAAGAAAATGACAGAAGTTTCATTCCCTTCTTAATCAGATTACCACAACGTTCCCAAATGCTCTGCCGGCCAGATGGAAAGCCTGTGCTCAGGCTCCGCCCTGTGTACCTTTCTTTCTCGATATCTTCTTTCTCTGTCTTCATCTCCTCGTTCAGAATCTTCATCTCTCCTTTCTCTCTCCTCAATTCGTACTTTACTTGCTAAAAAAAAAACAACAGCGTATTTTTAATATTCCCAAACTTTACCTTATCAAAAGGCCACCTGATAATGCTACTGTACACTTCACGATTGTACATATGTTCATTAATTTGCATTTTAACATTCTTCAACTAAGACATGTTCTCAAAACTCAAGAGTAACAAGTGCTAGTATCTAAACGTAAAGTAGAAGCTGAATATGGCAGGCTAGGAACAGATACAATTCTTCTCCTCTCCCGATTTGTTATTGAGACAAGCTGGCTTCCCTGGACCCAGTCTGTGTTCCCCTGGAAGTGGGGAGGGGCCTCAGAAACAGCACATGAAAGGGAGCTGAAGCGCATTAGGCACTGGAAGTGGGGAAACAGGGCTCCGCACAACCTGCAAGCGAAGCCACAGGTGAGGCTCATGAATCGCCCAGGTATTGCTAATGTCCAGAGGGCTACCCAATACAGAAAAACCAGCTATCACTGAGAAGCAACATTAGCTTACAACTAAGAAAATCCAAAGGGCAGCGGGGCTTTAGCTCAGTGGTAGAGTCCTTGCCTACCACGTACAACAGCCTTTGGTTTGATCCCTAAATCCCCAACACTGCAATAAAACTAACATTTTTGGTGGAATATATTTATTAAAGTACTTTCTTTTTGCTTATCCACAGAGACTAAGATTTATTGAGATAATAAATCAAGAAAAGAGTTTCAAAAGTAAAAACACTAGTAAATACTATGAAAATGATTCCCTGCTGACTGAATTTAAAAAAAAAGTCATAGTAACAAACAGAGAATAGGAACCGGCAACTTCAGGTCTAAAGCTAAAGCATCCATGAAAACCTGACAGAAAATCAATGATGAACTGAAAGGGGAAATGCTTCAAACAGTGAAAACTTTTAAACAAAATATAGGCCAAGAAAGGGGCTTAGCGAGTAAAAACACTGGCCAATCAAGTCTGAAAACCCCCAGAACCCATGTAAAAGCCGGATGCAGTTGCACACAGCTGTAATACCAGAATTCCTATAGCAGGATGGGAGGTAGAGAGAGGAGAACCAGCCAGAACCTCTCAGGTAGGCTAGCCTGAAGTATATCATGTGCAGAAAGAGACCCTGTTTTCCTGCCTGGCCCACAGTCAGGACAAATCTCTCTCACCTGCCAGTCCCACAGCCGCTCAGACCCAACCAAGTAAACACAGAGACTGATATTGGTTACAAACTGTATGGCCGTGGCAGGCTTCTTGCTAACTGTTCTTATATCTTAAATTAATCCATTTCTATAAATCTATACCTTGCCACATGGCTTGTGGCTTACCAGCATCTTCACATGCTGTTTCTCATCATGGCGGCCGGCAGTGTCTCAGATTCAGCCTTCCACTTCCCAGCTTTATTCTCCTCCTTGTCCTGCCTATACTTCCTGCCTAGCCAATGGCCAATCAGTGTTTTATTTATTGACTAGTCAGCAACACATTTGCCATACAGAACATCCCACAGCAAGACCCCATCTCAGCAACGTGGAAGGCATGCACACAGTCAGTCAATAAATCAATGGAGTGAAATAAATACAGCTAACTAACAAGCAGCTAGGGTGAATCCCTAATACAGAGACGCACCTGTGTGGACCTTCTTTTCCACTCTCTCCAGCATCTGCCGGCCACGCGCCTCTCGCCCCAGGAGGTCATGGTAGGCAACAGTCTGCCTGAGCTCTTCTTTCCTGGCTCTTCTGTCTCTCTCTCTCTCTCTGTCTTTGCCTCGACTGTGCGGCTTCTCTGTGTCCTGCTCTCGATGTTTCTCTCTCAGCTTGTCTTTCTCACGGTCTTTCACCTCTTTCCTCCTCTCCTTGTGCCTCTCCCGGTCTCTCTCCCCACGAGGGTGTTCTGTGGAGGTGTGAAGGTCTCTCTCAGCCATCTTCTCCTTGTATCGGGCCTCTCGGTCTGGATCCCTGCTCTTGTGTTCTCTGTATTCCAAAAGGCCCAGTTCTGACTCCTTGTGCAACTTCTTTTCTCTGAGTTTCTTTTCTTCCTTGGGACTACCTGATTGTACAGCCTAAAACAACACAAGGAAGATCTTCCTTGACCATGAAAGTACATGTGCATTGACTTCCACTATCTGGACAGAAAGACGCATCTAAAACACTTTTTAAAAATCACTGGCCGCAGCTGTTTTCTCAGTCCAGCAAGATGGGAGATGGAGCTGAATGAATATTCTTAAAATACTAACTGGAGTCCTACTTAACACTTCTACAAATATGCTAACTAGCAATCACCCCATGTATCAGAGATGTTCATGTTTATTGACAAATTAAACATGAAATGCCATCAGTAAAATACAACCTATAGTAGAAAGAGATAATTAAGTTGTGTTTTAAAGTTGTTGAGGCAAAAGAATACAGCCAGCTGGACATGGTGCACACGCCTTTAATCACAGCACTCAAGAGGCAGAAGCAAGTGGATCTCTGGGAATTTGAGGCCAATCTAGTTTGTATAAGTTCCTGGCCAGGCAGGGCTACATAGTGAGACCCTGTGTCAACAACAACAACAGCAAAGCCAGACATGGGTGGCACATGTAATCCCGACACTCAGGAGAATGGGACAGGAAGATCACAGCCACTTCTATTCAAAGCCAGCCTGGACTACAGAGTGAGACCCTGTTTAAAATTAATTAATTAATAGAGCCTCTATTATAAAACTTTCAGAAGGACTAAATCTCAATCACAAAACTCAAGCTGGTGGGGCTACCAGACTGGACTAACAAACAGAACACCTCAGACCCAGAGCAGGACCATAACCCATAATAGTTCCAGAAGTATTAAACACCTGGCTTCATCTTTTAGTCAAAAAGGCCTCTGAAATGAACTCCTTATAACCAAAGCTATGCAAGGTTGTAAGCCTGGTCACACTGTCCAGAAGCCCATGAAGGTTCCATGTGAATCCCAAATAAGTCTTTAAAATATATTACCTTAAGGTGTCTTCTGAGTTCATCTGCTTTCCAAGTATCATCTTTGGTTTTTCTCTAAAAAGCAAAGCACAAAGTTGGAATTATCAAGTCAGGCATGGTGCACATAGCCACATCCTAGCACTCAGGAAGCTGAGGCAGGAAGAGTCAAAGTTCCAAACCATCTTAGGCTATATAAGGAGATTCTAGGTGAAAAAAATTAAAATAACAAATTTTTTGTTTTCATTATGCTATTTGTATCAAAAATAATTAACTAGAAAATACTTGCTCTCCTACTGAAATGAAAGATGATCCAATAGAGGCCAAGAATGGGGCCACACCTGGAACCGCAGAACCTACATGGCCAAGGCAGGAGGATGGAGAGTTTGAGACCAGCCTCAGATACATCTATCTCAAAAGAAAACAAAAAAAGATACAAATATAGATTTGTTTAAATTATTCACTAGTCTAAAGTGATCCATAATTATTACAGGACACATTCATTTAGCTACTTAAAAAAATACTAAATTGTATCAAATAAAAGAGGAAACATTAAGATGGCAGATAAAGATCAGATCTAGAAAGCACTTTGTGAGCACATGTCAGACATGGTCTAGGAAGATGGCTCAGCAGTTAAGAGCATTGGCTGTTTTCTAGAGAACCTGTGTTCAAGCCCCAGCACCCACACAGCAGCTCACAACTGTCTGTGACTCCAGTTCCAGATGATCTCACTCCATCTTCTGGCCTCCTAAGAAAACAGCAAGTTTATGGACATACAGGCAGGCAAAACATCCATACATATAATTTCTTTATTTTATTTCTTTTTTTTTTTTTTTTTTGGTTTTTCGAGACAGGGTTTCTCTGTAGCTTTGGAGTCTGTCCTGGACTAGCTCTGTAGACCAGGCTGGCCTTGAACTCACAGAGATCCACCTGCCTCTGCCTCCCAAGTGCTGGGATTACAGGCGTGCGCCACCACCGCCTGGCATAATTTCTTAATTTAAACCAAAAAAAATGCCAGAAAACATTTTTCTGATAGGCCACAATAAACTCTCTCATCCCAAATACTGAGCACAGGGCTGAGTCAGGGATTTCTGTTCCTTCTACTGTGGTTGGCCCATCATAGGCCAGAAGGATGTGGTGTGACTACCAGGGAATGTGGCTCCCACTTGGCCTTCTTTGGGCTACCTAGTACAGGAGCTCAGCTGTAAAGAAGGAAAGTAGCATTATAGAAGAAAGGCCATATGTATATGTTCCAATTTAGGCATAGCAGAGGCCCCACAGCATCAGCTCAGAGGCCAGAATGTGAGAGGATCCACCCAATGAGTCACCATGTACAAGCCCCAAACCTGCATCGCCTATTTGAGACCCCAGACGTTAGAGGAGCAGAATGAGGCCATCAGAGTTGTGTGTGTTCTCCAACTCCAAATCCACAGACTATGGGAGCAAAATAAATAAAGGTCACTAATGTTCTAACAATCACATTTAAGGTGATTGTGTGTGTGTCTACAAAAATAGAAAACAGTAGGTAAGAATAGATAGACAAAATTTTCATTTATCATTTAATGTACATCTGGTGCTATGCTGAGTCAAAGACACTATTTGAATCTCATAAACTTGTCAAGAAAAGTAGTGGGGACTAGAGAAGTGGCTCAACAGGTAAAGGATTTGCCTCAAAAGTGGGGGGAACTGCCAGGCATGGTGGCACAAGGCCAGCCTGGTCTACAGAGCAAGTTCCAGGGTAGCCAAGGCTACATAGAGAAACCCTGTCTCAAGCAAAACAAAACAAAAGTATAAGGAACTAAGCCCTTATTCTCAGAACTCATGTTTAAAAGCCTGATAGAGCCCTCCGCCCGGCTCACCTCCATTCCCTAGGGCTTCAGCCTCTTGGTGAAGAACTACTGTCCCCTTAGATCTTCCCAAAAAAAGAAACTGCCCACAACACATAATAATCAAAACACTAAATGTACAGAACAAAGAATGAATATTAAATGTGACCAGGGAAAAAGACCAAGTCACATATAAAGACGGGCCCATTGGAGTAACACCTGACTTTTCAATGGAGATTTTAAAAGCCAGGAAGGACCTAGGCAAGCTCTGAGAGACCACAGGTGCCAGCCCAAACTACTCTACCCATCAAAACTATCAATCACAATCCATTGAAAAAGAAAAACATGTCATGATGTAAAAAAATTAGCTGTCCACCAACCCAGCTCTCCAGAAGGCACTAAAGGAAAACTAGAGACTGAAGAGAAGGTTGATGACACCAGAGGTTCCCAACCTTCCTAACGCTGCGACCCTTTAATACGGTTCCTCATGGTGTGGTGACCCCCAGCCATGAAATTATTTTGTTGCTACTTCATAACTCTCATTTTTCTACTGTTATGAATTATGATATAAATATCTGACATACAGGATATCTGATGTGCAACCCCCAAAGAAGTTGTGACCCACAGGTTGAGAACTGCTGGACTACACACAACACGACACAAGAATTAAACAATACCCAGTACAGTAAATCAAAAAGTGGGGGTGTGGGGGGGACAGCCCCACGACAACAACAGAAATAACAGGAATAAACACTCATTAATAACTCCCAGATCAATAGTCTCCCCAATAAAAAGACACAGACTAGCAGACTGGACTAGGAAACAGGGTACATATTTCTGCTGCATCCAAGAAATACACCTCACCCTGAAGGACAGGTATCACCTTAGAGTAAAAGGATGGAAAAGGGGGCCGGGCGGTGGTGGCGCACGCCTTTAATCCCAGCACTCGGGAGGCAGAGCCAGGCGGATCTCTGTGAGTTCGAGGCCAGCCTGGACTACCAAGTGAGTTCCAGGAAAGGCGCAAAGCTACACAGAGAAACCCTGTCTCGAAAAACCAAAAAAAAAAAAAAAGGATGGAAAAGGGTATTCCAAGCAAATGAACCCAAGAAACAAGCTGGTGTAGCCACTTTAATATGTGACAAAATAGGCTTCAAGACTTCAGAAGAGATGGGGAAGGACACCACATACTCATCAAAGGAAAACTCTAAGAGGATATTACAATTCTAAACGTTTATGCACCGAACCAAGGGCACCCAAACTCATAAAAGAAACACTGTCACGGCTAAGGTCACACATTGACCTTCACACAGTAATAGTGGGTGACTTCTGGGTGACTTCAGTACTCCACTCCCATCAACAGACAGCTCACCCAGACACAAACTAAACAGAGGCGTGCTGGAGTTAAACAACAGTCCTGAGTCAACGGATATAACAGACATATATAGAACATCCCACCCAAACACTAAAGAATACACTTTCTCCTCAGCAGCTCATGGAACTTTCTCCAAAACTGACCACATATTAGAACACAAAGCAAGTCTCGACACACACAAGAAAACTGAAATAACACCCCACATCCTGCCTGAGCACCGTGGATTAAAGCTGGACATCGACAACGGGAATGACAGAAAGCACACAAACTTCATGGACACTACACAGCTCACTGCTGAATGAAAATCCAGTCAAAAGGAAATTTAAAACTTTTTAGAATTGAATGCAAATGAAAATACCACATACCCAAACCTGAGGGACGCAATGAACACAGTCCTAAGAGGCAAGTTCATAGCACCAAGTGCTTCCATCAAAAAACTGGAGAGATTTTATATTGGTGACTTCCTGATACACCTGATGGCTCTAGGAAACAAGAAAAAAATAAAACCCCCAAAAGAGTAGATGGCAAGAAATAACCAAACTCAGGACTGGAACCAATGAAACGGTAACAACAAAAAATAATATAAAGAATCAATAAAACTTAGAGCTGGTTCTTTGATTAAAAAAAAAAATGTACAAACTTTTTCCCAGCAAGCCAAAAGATGGAAGGAGGAGGTCCAAATTCATTAAAGCAGACATGAAAGGGGTTCCATTATAACAGACACTGAGGTAATCCATAAGATTTATCATTGGTAATTGATAGGATCATAAGGATACACTTTAAAAAATCTGCATTCCACCAAACCAGAAAACCTAAAGACAAGGATTTCTTAATACAAATGGCCTACAAAAGTTAAAAATCAACAACCGTATGTACTGTAGACTCAAATATTGCACCTTTCAGCTTGTTTTGTTCTGTTTTAAACTATCTATAAAGATGACCAGTCCCCATAAAGGGTGCCTCAAGACCAGGAGTCCTATGCCTTCCTTAGGTTGATTCTCAGCCATGCCTCTGGGTGAGTTCAGAAACTCCTCCATAAACCGCACCTGGAGCAGACAAGGGAGAAGCGTCTGCAAAGCTAAGACCTGGACCCAGACTCCGCCTCCAGCTCTCTCCTCGGTTCAGGCCAAGGAAGAAACGAGGTCTCCCCAGTGCTGCGGAAGAGTGGGGGAACACGGGCGCGGGCCGGAGCCCGCGGCACACCGACCTTCCCAGGCTCCATGGCTCCTCGAGGCCGGAGCAGCCGCGTGTCTTCGGCCCAGCAAGCGCGGGGCACCCAGGGAAGACAAACCCGCCGTAGCTCAACTCCACTGGCCAGCTAGGGCCTACAGCGACGCGGGTCCCCGGCAGGTAGGCGTCCCCGCCTCCTAGCAACCGGCCCGGGTCGCTGGCCCAGCATGCCCCGCGGCCGCTCCCAGTACGCCTGCGCACACCGTTTACGGACCGTCGGAAAGCTAATCGGTCTCTGATTTCCTGAGCGTCTCCTTGGATCGTGCCGTGTCCTTGTCTCATCCTTGGCGCCCACAGTTGACAACGAAAGATGGAAAGCAGACGATGGATGAGCTTTATACTTGAAAACAAGGCTTTGCCTCTTGCACACCACACCCCATAGACTGTCTTTTAATGAAAACAGTTTGTGGTCGGCTGTGGTAGTGCACACCTTTAATACTATTACAACGGATACGAGGCAGGAGGATCTTTGTGAGTTCCAAGCCAGGCTGTCTACATAGTGATGCAAAGGAAGTATCTGGAAAGTAGTTGCTGAAAGGTTAAGGAGTGGACGTATGTTAAAATTCTGAGCTTTCTGCAGACCAGAAATTTACTTTGCCCACACCTTTCCAAGCCACATACATGCTCCTGTAACCCAGCTTAGAATTTATGACTGTTGGCTTGCTCAAGATGGTCACTAACCCAGCTCCTTACCATACAAAAAGTACTAACAGATACACTAAGTCTTTCATAATTTGTATAAGGTCTTTGTTTCCATTTATCAATACTTTTTTAGAAGGAAGGTAATCTTGGTGGTTGTGACTTATTTTGCTCCAATTAGCGATTTGTTTTACTGGTTTTTGCCTATGGCCAAAAAGAATAATAAGCTTTTATACTTTGCTCACTGCGGCTGGTAGATGATCTGATGCCGAAGCCCATTCTCTTAAACCTTATATCACATTATACCTACCCGGAAAGCAGCTGGTGCCGGAAAGCACCACACACTGTTGAATGTGAGACTGAATAAAAAATAAAGCTGCTATCTACCATGTCAGTGAAAGTCACACAAACTTCAAGCAGCCTTCTCCATTATCTGCAACCCCAACTCCAACTTATACCCTGAGTGTCAATACATCCACTTTTCTCCACTCTAGTCCTTACTAACCCATGCTTCATCTCAGACAAAACTTTCTAAAATGTAGTCACCCAGTTAAGTCTTACAGCCACTAATTGACACTGTAAAATGCACACCTCTACCATTAACAGTTCACTACCCAGGATTAACTGTGAAAATAACCTCAGCTAATAAAACAAATCAACAATGGCTTCCTGTGGAGAACAAGATATTTTTGCATACCTAGTCGCACAAGTATGCTAGCGGGCATGGGTAGGAGAGGGGCTTCATTCCTACCTGAGTTAGGGCAGCTGTTTCAAAGTTAGGAGTAGCAGTGAGTGTGGCCATCTAGAGCAGCAGAGGTGAGTGGAATCTTCTTAATGCCATCTGATATTGTCATGGCCATCTCCATAGTCAAGAGTAGGACCACCAAAGGGGTGACACTCACAACTCTATCAGGGTGTTCAGAGTACATGAGCGCATTAGAGTCTTCCAGGACAAATCCCAAATCCAGGGGCAGGTACAATGATTTCTATGGCTAGGAAGGTCTCTTTCAAGCAGCCACAGCTCATTGGGAGGTGAAGTTTCCTCACTAGTTGTGATATCTCTAATTAGAACAACTGAAACGAGACACCCATGAATCAGTTGTGACGAACATAATTAGAACAGCTGCAAACACGATTACCCAGGGAAACGGTGTGGTTGACAGCTGTCCTGATCCAAAGTTTTGGTTGCTGTTGAACCTCGAATTGACTTAAGATTTTCAGCAGCCTTCACCACCCAACCAGCAACAGTGCACAGTTCTACTCCCGGGAGGATGGGTCTGACAGGATGGACACCAAGAGGTCAGCGGCCATCCTTGGCAGCTTCTTTTATAAAGAAAATGTGCTTACTCATAATCCCAGCTGGGATTTTGTACAGTCTCCAAAATCTTATACTTACAGCATATCTCAAATTAAGACTAGCCACATCCCCAGTACCCCAAACTGTGATCAGTAGCTTCTGTAAGGAGCAGAGCAAACCTACACAGTAAAGGGTCTGTGTGTGTGACTGTGGAGGTGGCTAGAGATGGAAAGGGAGGTGTGTGCAATCTGTAAAGGGTATTGAATGTCATGACACAAAACTTTTAAATGTGAAGCTGTAAAACAATGCATTCAAATGGGAGAGAGGGTGCTGTACTGAATGTCGGGATGGGTTTGTGGAAAAAGAAGAGAAGCCAAGCTATGGGGGGAAAGGCCGAGTGAGGAGCGTTCCCCTCTGCTCTAGAGCACAAGCCTCTCTGTTGCTGCCTTGATCTCCACACTCTGTCCAGATGCATGGCTTTTATGTAAGTCCCTTGTCTGGGAGATGGATGCCTTCACCCTGCCCATTCACAGCTAGTTCCTAAACATTCTTGTGTTGATCCAGCACTACTTCCACTACAATTTAATTTAAAGTTCATAGCTTATGCATTTATTATTATCCTTTGTCCTCTTTTGTATGATTTTAATTTTTAATTTCCATATCCCTAGTTAGGCTATACGCCAGTTTATAATCTCATGTTATGATAGATACAAACAAAATTGTTTTATTTATGTATTTCATGTATATGAGTGCTCTATTTGCATGTATGCCTGCATCACAGAAGAGAGCATCAGACAAAAGAGGGCAACAGATCCCATTATAGATGTTTGTGAGCCACCATGTGGTTGCTGGGAATTGAACTCATGACCCCTGGAAGAGCAGTCACTGCTCTTACTCATTGAGCCATCCAAACAAAATCTTTTTATTTCACAATGAAAACCAACTTTGTTACAAAAGTCAGTACCTTCCTCTCACATCTCTCTAGGCTTTATAGTCACATGTGGCATTGGCAGAATGTCTTTGTATATAGATGTTCCATAAAAACTACCTACATTGTTAACATAAGCTAAATATTTATAACGTAAATATACAAAGTGGCAATGAGACAGAATGGTATCCTACTCTTCCCCAAGGTATACATTTTGTTTTCTTCTTTTTCATCTTTGGTAGTTGAAGCTACACGGGATAGGGTAGCCTGATTCTCCTTTCCTCAAGGCTTAGCTACTAGGGCTGGCTGCTAGATATGCGTTCCAGCTATTCCAGAAGACTGCTCAAGACCTTGGCTACGTCTGATGCCCTGTGACAGGAGCCTTCACCATGGCTGCAGCAGCTTTAGATGCCCTGAAACTTTCTCAAATGACACCCTCCCTTACCTTTACAGGTATGCTTCCACTCTGGTACTCATAACAGTGCCAGCACCAGGCCCAGAATGCCTATGAAGACTGGCAACCCTATGCTGGGAGACTCCCTCCAGCAGCTGGAAGGGAACTGCATGCATACCCATGGCTTCCTTTGTTGTCTGCACAGGCAGCTCTCTTCCCTCTCTCCTCAGCCAGTCTGGATAAGCCTCCACCCAGTGTGTTGCCCCCTGTTATGAAGCATAAGGCCTAACAGCACCTCTTTCTGGTGGTCTTACTTTACTTACTTGTAACAAAATTCTAGTGAACAGGCTGAGTGAATTATGCCAAGAGCTGGTAACAATAAGGGCTGCTACCTCCTGAGAACAGCAAGCAGCCAGAGAGCTGCCAAGTTCTCTAAGAAAAGCTGCTGAGAAGGGTGCTAACCCTTACTTAGCTGCTATGAGAGCTTTAGAGAGAGCTAACACTAAGAGCCCAGACTGCTAACACCAGTGTACCTGCGCTTGGCCTGGTCATGATTTCTATCAAAATCGGACAAAAGAACTCTTGGGTAGTAAGTTAGGCTGGCTGTGGAGCCCAAATACCTACTCTATGACCCTGTCATCGGGGTCATAGCTCCACACTGTCACCCTCAGCAGCTTAAGGAGTGCCAGACTTTTAGAGATCCTCAACTCAGGCTAATCTGAAATTCATGGCTTTGATGCTGAAAATAATTTCAGAACTAGCCAGCATAGTAAAGCAGAGAATTTTAAAACATATTTTAATATAGGTTTAAGCCCAAGGGTGAAGATAAAGAGAGGTGCTCAGAAGAAACACACCCAAGTGTAGGCATGGGCTCCTCAAGGGAGACTAAACAATTGACTGTCTTAGCGTCAGTCACATATACCACTTCAGTGGCTATGAAATATACTCAAAGGGTTGCTAATAAAGTTTTCCCCTTTCTCATTTGGGATGTGAGATAAATGAGGTAACTCTGGAGATCTCTGGAATAGGAGTATAATCTAATACGGTAAAAGTTACCAGGCGCTCTAGGGCTGCACAAGAGATCTGGTACAGGTGTTTTCCCTGCCAGTGGTGTTTGGGGTGAGATTCCAGGAAAATTTTTCATGGAAAGGGAGAAAGTCCTTATGCAGTTACTGAGCTGGAATGCTGTGTATGTAAGATGCTTAAGCCAGATTCCTGTGAGGAGCTACTTTCTCTTGTCATGCCTCCCAGATTCTCCCTGCCTGTCTACCCTGCCTCAATCTTGATCAGCTCTCATTAGCTGTCTTAGACCCTGTGCTTCAGTTTCTTATTCTGCAAACCAGGGATTGCACTATAACTATAAAGCAATTTATGTATTAAAGACAAAACAAAAACTACAGGCAGAAATTCCCACTTTAGCAATCAGACCTGTTGCTTAGAGTTGACCCCAGTGACTTGGGATGTCTTATACAAACATTTAGAACCTAGCTCCTAATGATCCACAGCATCTTACTCCGAACAGTCAATCTCAAGAAAGACAGCCAGTGCTATGAACTATACTACTTACCAAGATACGGAAATGTTAACTTACCTATCCGGATGAATAGCACACCAACTTCCCTTAACTGTTATAACAGAACTCCCATTCCCTGTCAGGGAACAATTATCTCTCTGAGAATTCAGTGGCTGTGGCACTACATCTACAGTGAATTTTATTTAATAAAATTTTTATGTCTGTTCTAGTCTGATAAATACTTTTACGCCTGCACCTTTGGCTTGCTACATCATCCCCAGCATAATATTTTAGTGTCCTGGATGGGGCACTCTCTCCTTGCCTCCACTGGTTTCTCTTCACTCTCCTGTTTGTGATGATCAGCTGACCAGCCCGTGCCCTGGCTAGAGCTGCTCTCCAGC